TGAGAACACTGAGACGTGAATATTTATTTAAGGAGCTTGGAACACATCCCCTTGATATTTTTTTTTCTGACTCATGTTAAAGAGGGGGTGGGGTACCCTGTGTTGCAGTTCACCTGCAGTGGCTTCTGTCTCTTGCCCCCTCCTTGCAGGGCCACATAGCTGAGTCATCTAGGAAAAGGAAAACATTGCCTACATTTGCATCCCTTAGCAGCGTGACACCCAGTTCTGCTCCACTGATGAAACAGAATTGTTTCTGTTGCAATGTCAGTTTTCCCACACAACATGTCAATAAACTTTCATCATCCAGCTGTTGCCTGTCTGGATTCCTACTACAGTGACTGGCTCAATCAACTTGTTGTCTCTTTTGGCCTCATTAGCAACATTCATTCTACCCCAAGCCTCCAACTCATATGTGATTTTCACCACTACTATCAGAGGTCTCTGAGTTTCCCTAGAATCCATTTGATCACAAGATCAAACTCCTAAGAATAAGGATACTGTATTCTTTCATATTCTGACTTATGCCTATCTTTTATTCTGTCATTCACCCACACAGTAATAATGGTAATTTTTTTTACTATTATTGTTATTGATAGTTTTGCAGTGCCAAGCAATTTGTTTGGATAATGTCTCACAATAGTCTGAGGTAGGTGAGGTAGGCTGGGACTTTGAATTTCCAATCTTCTTCCCTCAGCCTCTGAATGCTGGGATTAAAGGTATGTACTGCTGGTTTCCTTTCTGCCTTTCTGCAGATGCTGTTTTCTTCCTTTCCACTACCTCATCCTTCCAACCTAGCCTATGTATCATTACCTTCTGAAATCTCCCCTTGCTCTTTCTTCCCCCCTCAAATTTCTTTTACTCTAGAAATAGAAGACAAAACTCTAGCTCAAGTAACCAAGAAATAGGGAAGACAAAAGGTCATTTGACGCCAGGGCAGGTGGCTCATGCCTGTAATCCTAGCTACTTAGGAGGCTGAGATCTGAGGATCATGGTTCAAAGCTAGCCCGAGCAGGAAAGTCCATGAGACTCTTATCTCCAAAAAACCACCAGAAAACCAGAAGTGGTGCTATGGCTCAAATGGTAGAGCACTAGCCTTGAGCTGAAGGTCTGAGGGACAGCGCCCAGGCCCAGAGTTCAAGCCCTATGACCGACAAAAATAAGAAAAGGTCATTTGAGCTTTTGGACAATTCAAATATGGAACATAAATGCTACCAGAATGTCCCCTTGCCATGGGGTTTGTTTTGTTCTAATGCTTTTCCTTGTATCCTCTGTTCACTCACCATCAAGAGAAAATTGGAGCTATTCTGACAGAAGGGACTGAGACTCTCTTCAATATTTCACTTAAAAATTCCACAGGAGCATCCTGATTGGCTTAGCTGAATCACGCCCCATCTCTGGACCAGTCATTCAACTACTGAACTGAGTGGCTGGCTGAGATTCCTGGCCCATAAGTATAAGAAGGCAGTGTAGTTCTTGTGATGGGGTTGAGAATCTGTAAGGGGATTGCTGAGGAGGCAAAACTGCCCATGTTTAAAATCCTCCCCATCCCTCTTCCAGTCCCACTTTAATCAGTTTTGTTTTCCGTTTAATGAGACAAAAATGTCATGAGTCCTAGTCTGGCCCCCAACTCACAATCCTGCCCAGCCTCCAAGTGCTGTGCCATCTTGCCTAGCTTCCCTAATCCTTTAGTGATTCTTCCCTAAATCCTAAATTTTAGGATTCACAGAGCCCAGAGGGCATTTGTAACTCCTTTCCAAGTCTATTGAAATATTCTGGAGAAGACTCAGGCCCCAGCTGACAAAGTCTGTGCACCACCTGTAGCCTCACTAGGCCTCCTTTCCTTTCTCCAAAGCCCTTCAAGCCCCTTAAAGACTGGCTTGACTGAGATTGAGCCAGGCAATGATGGCTCATGCATATAATCATACTCAGAGGGCTGAGATCTGAGGATTGCAATTTGAAGCCAGCCTGGGTGAGACTCTTAGCTCTATTTAACCACTAAAAAAAAAAAAAACAAAAAAAAAAAACAAAAAATGGAGCTGTGACTCATGTTGCAGGGCTAACCTTAAGCAAAAAAGCTCAGGGACAGTGCCCAGGTCCTGAGTTTAAGCCTCATGGTGACAACTTTTAGTCTCAAGCAGCCAACTCTTTCCTAGTTTAGTGAGATTCCTAGGTAGGAATTTCAATACAATTATAATTGAATATGGTTATCCACACACCTATGATCTCAGTATTTGGAGGCTGAGACAGCATACAAGTCATAGCTGGGTTTTTGTTGTCAGTCGTGGGGCTTGAACTCAAGGCCTGGGTGCTGTCCCTGAGCTTTTTCACTCAAGGCTAGCACTTGATCAATTTGAGCCATAGAGCCATTTCTAGTTTTCTGGTGGCTAATTGGAGATAAGAGTCTCATGGACTTTCATGCCCAGGTTGGCTTTGAGCCATGATCCTCAGATCTCAGCCTCCTGAGTAGCTAGGATTACAGAAGTGAGCCACTAGTACCCAGGGTCATGGTAGTTTTGAGGACCACTCAGGCCACATAGTGAATTGGAGTCTAGGCTGTAGAGAGACTGGGACCAGATCCAGATTGGGTCAGAGTCGGAAAGCTGTTGATCTCATTAGAGAAAGTACTGAAGGACAGAAACAAAATATTTCATCAGCAAGAGCAAGCTTAGTAATAAAAAGTGAAAGGTCACTCTTAAGGGGAGAACATGGGCAGACTTGAGAACAAGTAACTTCCATAAGGATTTCATGACCTCAAGACTTCCGTGGGGTGTGATGGCATGGCAATGGTCATCCCTGAAAACTAGATTGTGTGATATTCACTCCTGGACATCGGGTTATATGTCATTAGCTCCTGCAGGCCAGAAGGGAAAGCTTTTTGACCTTGATATGGTCAGCCTAAGACTGTCATTATCTGCATGCTACCATGGCTTTGGTTGAGCAAGTTCCTGCTGCGTCAAAAGTCATCCCATTAATACCAATGGACTAGGATATAATTTTTTAAAATTAAAATCAAAGTCATTATTCTCAACCACCACACTATCAGTTTCCCTAGCTTCTTAAGGCTTTTGGTAACCTTATGTCATTCCCTCAGCCAAGAAGTGTGAACCCCTACATTAATTTTTAAATATAATTTTATTGTAATTAAGGTTTTGTACTGAGGGAGAGTCATTTCATAATTCAGGTAATGTGTACATTTCTCTTTTGGACAAGGTTACTACTTCTTTTACTTTCTCCCAGTTTTCCACTCCTGTCCCTGCCTACAAGCCATATAGTTCACTGTCCTATTAGTGTATACCAAATGCTATTACTGCATTTGTTCACCCTTCCTCCTCCCTTTCTTTTCTCCTGCCTTTGTCCCCCCACACCTCCCAAAATCAGGGAAAAAATGCACACATGACATCAACAATGGCCAATGGGCTGGGAAGGTGGCTCAGTGGTAGAGTGCTTGCCTTGCATGCATGAGGCCCTGGGTTTGATTCCTCAGCACCACATAAGCAGAAAAAGCGGGAAGTGGTGCTGTAGCTCAAGTGGTAGAGCGCTAGCCTTGAGCTGAAGAGCTGAGGCACAGTGTCCAGGCCCAGAGTTCAGGCCCCACAACCAACCAAAAAAAAATAGCCAAGACTGAGATGGTAGGATACAACGGTAGGATTGATCTAGAGGTTTTGACTGCTGCTGCTGCTCTTGCAGTATTAGCTGAAAACCTTAGTATACTGTTGTTTGCAGTTGAAACTTCTGAAACCCAACAGTGTGATTCATAGATGGTTGTGCTGTAGTCCCTGACCATTATAAGAAGTTTCCTTTGACTATAGCTGGAAGCAACAGTCATCTCTCAGCAGACACCTGTTTAGACAGCAGTTTTACTGATTCATTATCTTGAATTAAGAACACAATTACAGTGGCTTGTCTGGGTCCTGTGACTTTCTGAGCCACAGGTTCCTGACTTATAGTACCAAGCATGGGTTCTCTTCTGTGGAACAGGCATAAGTCCTATTGAAATGTGGTTGTTGTGACAATATGGCACAACCTGCAGGACATGCTACTAGGGAAGCAACATGCAAGGCTAGTAGTCAAGCAGGACCACTGGTGACAACGGACCCCTGGCAGTATCCAGCCCTCCTGCCCTACAAAAATAGTAGCTATTGAGAAAAAGCTTCCAGTTTAGTGCGAGCTTGATTTCTCCTTATTCTATATCCAGAGCATGGATGTCTTTAGCAACAGAGAACTGCAGTAGCAATAACCATAAAGTATGGAGGCAAATCACAGAAAGGTGCGTGGACCCATGGCACTGGGGTTTAAGTACGTGTGCCACTTTCATAGCCATTTGTTATAATGGTCATTCGGATTACATGTCCTGCCAATCCATACTTCTTGGTACTAACCGCCTTGTGTGAAGCAAGCACTCATTGCCTTCCATTTCTTTTTGGACTGTGATTGGCAGGTTGTATACCAAAATGTAGGAGCCTCTTGCCAGATTATGGAATTGAAAAAACAATCACAAGGATGGTGAAAAGGTCCAGAAGACTGGACTACTCATCCTTATGGTTCTTTGGAGTCTAAAAGTTCCAGGAACCTTTCAGTTCTCAATGCACTTGCCTCATGATTTTCTATTAGTTGCCTTTATACATCCCTAATCCTAAACTCAATTTAGAAAGGAATGCAAGGACCCGAGGGAAAAAATCTTTTTCCTGTTTTGGAGCATAAAATCCCAGAAGACTCGTAAGTGTGCAGAGTTCCCACACTCTTATCTCCAGAAAACTACGCTTCCCACAAGGCTTTGGGCCTGGGGAGCCGGAGGTACGCAAGGGAGGGCAACGATGGAAGAGAGGCGGAGTCTAGAGAAGCTAGTTGGTGAAGTCTACTGTTTGAAGCCGCAGGGGTGAAGTAGGCGGGGCGTGAGCAAAATTCACTTTTTGATTGGTCAGAACTAGAAAGGTTCCACACGTGATTGGTACGGCCCTCAGGGCCTTAGGCTGCACGGCTGGCGCTTGAATTTCCCGGGCCCGGAGCGCGGGGCCCGCTGGGAGGGCGCCGGGACGGTTACCCACGGGGCTGGCAGGGGTCGCGAGTGCGCTTCGTCATGCAGAGCACAGACCTGGGCAACAAGGAGAGCGGCAAGATATGGCACCGCAAGCCCTCTCCGGCCAGTCGGGACGGGTAAAGGCCGCGGCGCGAGGGCGGAGGCCGCGTCTGGGAAGGGGGTGCGGGGCTCGGGGTCGGGCTGTGACCCTGCGGGGTGTCGCTCCGGTGCGGCCTCGGGGGTGGGGGGGAGGCAGGCGGCCGGAGGATCGCAGCCTCCCCACGCGCGCGCGCGGGCGGGCCGCAGAGTCAGGGGAGGAGCTGGCCATTAGTCCCGCGCCGCTCTTCGCTTTGCTGCGGGTTCTCGGCCCTCTTTAAAAGGCTCGGCCTTTTCAAGGTGTGACCTTGATGGAAGCCTCCGCCCCCCAGTGCGCGTGGCCGGAGATGGCCCTGCGCGTCACCGCATCGCCTGGAGGGGGGGCGGGGGGAGAGGGAAGAGATGCTCTTGTTTTCTGTTAACAAAGTGTAAATGTTTACTCCTTTATAGGCCCAAAGGAGCGGTGCTAGACTTGTTCACGACACTGTCAGTTCTCTTGCTAGACTTGTTCACGACACTGTCAGTTCTCTTCCTAAGCACGGATGCTGCCCCATCCACGCCACTGAATACACGTTCTTGTCTGGGCGCCTGTAATCTTAGCTCCTCAGGAGGCTGGGATTTGAGGATCGCAGTTCAAAGCCAGCCGGGGCAGAACAGTCCCTGTGACACTCTTATCTCCAATTAACTACTCAAAAAACTGGAAGTGGCTCTGTGGCTCAAGTGGTAGAAGGATAGCCTTGAGCACCAAGAGGTTCAGAGACAGTGCCCACGCCCTGAGTTCAGGTTCTAGCACCACACACACACACACACAAACACAAATTCACACTCACACACACACAAAGCAATGTGAAAAGTATATTTTCCTTAATGAGTCTAAATTGTTTAAAAAATATTTATATTATGAATTTTTTTCTGTGTTGCTGGAGGGTCCGAACAACCTGGGGCCTTACACATACAAGGCGCGTGTTCTACCACTGAGCACCATCTAGCTCACTTCAGCGCACTTTAATGAGAAGGAAATTTCTAATATTAAAATTCAAAACAAAATTGTTCTAATTAAAAATGCATTGCAATGAAGACTAGTTTTTTTTTCTGGTCTTCAGGAACAGAATAAACACATAGGCATTATTCTAAGGAGTTATTTTGTGCCACAAATTCCATAAACAGGTTTTTTCCTCCCAGCAAATACATAGTACAGGATCCTCCTCTCAAATAAATTAACTTTAGAGGAAAGGGGAGGAAAAAGCAGTAACTTCAGACAAATAGGCCTATGTGTGTGTCTATAAATAGAAATGAACTTAGAGCTCTGCACTTACTAGTCTAGTTCTACAACTTGAGCCATGCCCTACCCATTTTTATTTTTTTGGATAAAGCCATGTTTGCAGAGCTGGGAAGGTGGCTCAGTGGTAGAGTGCTTGCCTTGCGTGCATGAGGCCCTGGGTTCGATTCCTCAGCACTACATAAGCAGGAAAAAAAAAGCCGGAAGTGGCGCTGTGACTCAAGTGGTAGAGCACTAGCCTTGAGCTGAAGAGCTGAGGGACAGCACCCAGGCCCCACGACTGGACCCAAAAAATGAATAATAAAGCCATGGTTTGCTAGGGGTCTGGCCTCCAGCCTACTTCTGCCTCCCTTGTAGCTGAGATTATAAGGTGCACCACCACTCTAGGTCTATGTGAATACTGTAATAAAGTTTGAAACAGTAGTATGAAAGTAGTATGTATACACAAATATGTACACAAATACAAGACAGTAGAAAGAAGGTGGGGAGAATAACTCATATTCCTTTTATACATGGCTGCTATTCAGATGTGTTCACCTTTTTTTCCCTATATGTACATTTTTTCTTTTCAATGTGTGTTTGTACATTTGTTTGTATACATGTGCCACTTGTTTAAAACCTAAAATTAGAATGATTTCTTTTTATATAACTTGTTAAAGTATTCTTTGTAGGGGCTGGGAAGGTGGCTCAGTGATAGAGCGCTTGACTTGCACGCTCGAGGCCCTGGGTTGATTCCTCAGCACCACATAAGAAAAGAGAAAAAAGCTGGAAGTGGTGCTGTGGCTCAAGTGGTAGAGCGCTAGCCTTGAGCTGAAGAGCTGAGGGACAGTGCTCAGGCCCAGAGTTCAGGCCCAACGACCAGACCCAAAAGAAAAAAAAAGTATTCTTTGTAGTTCTATAGGGTATTGAAAGTTCCTAAATCTTTTCAGTAGAGCTGTAATTCATGTGGGTTTTAAAAGAAAGACTTAAAGCATTCATTTATTCAGAGGGCATGGTCTGGGTACTTCTGCATTGTAGGTCAGGTGCAGAGGCTAAGCACTGGGTTACAGTAACCAGCAAGCTCTGGTCCCTGTCCTTACACAGCATCTTCTTTATTCATTTTTGAATAAATTTTATATCACAACAACAATCTGACACAGTATTGTTGGCCTTTCAAGCAATCATACATAGTTCATAGATGTTGATACATTTATTTTTTTGTCTTTTACTTACTACTTTACTTACTAAACTGTAAGTTCGCGTGTGCAGTAGAACACGTCTCCCACCTTGTCAGAGTCTGACATAAAGTTTCAAGCACTTGAAGAAATGAACAGTAGCTACTTTCATAAGAATAATTTTCTGAACTGTTTCCAAAAACGCTTGTAAAACCGATTGTATGGAAGAGAAGGAATATCAATAGGAGAGGAGGGGAAGAATAGGCAGAAAGCCTTCAAATATTGGAAATATCTCCTATAAATGCTATATTTCACATATAAAATAATAGTTGATGTAGAACTTACTAATATCTAGTTTCTTGTTTTATTTTGACAGAGTTATAGTGAACATCATTCACAGTACTTCTGATTACCATCCAAAAGTTTTGCGATTTTTGAGTGTGGCTTTTGATGGCTCAGGTGATTGCTTAATTGCTGGAGACCATCAAGGAAATATCTATGTTTTTGACTTATATGGAAACAGGTAAGCAGATGTGGGATTTTTGGTTTGTTTTTATAATACCTTGTTTAATAACTTAATTCCTTGGCTCCTTGCTATTCATTATGCATTCAGAAAGCTTTATTAGTTTTAGGTCCCTTAGAAAACAATGCTGAAGGAAGAAGATAGGAAAATAATAGAAATATATTGTTCAGTTTTGGGGATTTTGGTGAGAATTTAAAGTGCTGGTTCTCACAGTGTCTCTAGTAGCTTGTTTTGTCTTAAATTTTCTTTCTTTCTTTCTTTCTTTTTTTTTTTAAATCAGTTATGAGGCTTGGAACTCTGGGCCTTGGTGCTGTCCCTCAGCTCTTCATCTCAAGGCTAGCACTCTACCACTTGAGCCACAGCGCCACTTCTGGTTTTTTGATGGTTTATTGGAAATAAGAGTCTCACAGACCTTCCTCCTAGGCTGGCTTTGGATTGTGGTCCTCAGATATCAGCCTCCTTTGAGCTAGGATTCAGGCATGAGTCACCGGTGCCTGACTTAAATTAAAATTTAATATTGCTAATTTATTTGTTCATCTCTGGTATTACACTAAGCAATTTAGAACAAACATATTTACCTTTGAGCATTCCTACAGTATACTAAATCCAAGAATTTTTTTTTTTTGGGGGGGGTCCGGTTGTGGGGCCTGAACTCTGGGCCTGGGTGCTGTCCCTCAGCTCTTCAGCTCAAGGCTAGCGCTCTACCACTTGAGCCACAGTGACACTTCTGGCTTTTTTTTTTTCTTTTTGCTTATGTGGTGCTGAGGAATCGAACTCAGGGCCTCAGGCATGCAAGGCAAGCGCTCTACCACTGAGCCACCTTCCCAGCTCTAAATCCAAGAATTTTAAAGAACTTGTCTCTACTCTTCTTCCTCATCTGTTCCCATGTAGAAGAATTTAGTCGTTAAGCAGTTCAGTGGGACTGATTAGGTAGGTGTCCATGCTGCAGGACTAGGAATGAGGGAGCACTGCAGCAAGAGTGGGATTGTCTATGTGTGGGCTGTGCCAATGATGGGAGGTTTGGTCAAATAAGTAAATATATCAGGGAGAATGAAGCCACATTTCGCACTATTGGAAAAGAAGCTTACATGTGTATATATTTTAGGTCTAGATTCCACAAAACATGCGATACTTTTTTTTAAAACTTGGCTCATCTCATGCAATATGCTCCCCAGTTCAATTTGTTTTACTACAAATAACAGTTTCATTATTCTTTATGATGGAGTGAAATTTTATGATATACACACCATATTTTCTTATTTATTGGTTCTTGGGCACTTCAATCAATTCCACAGTTTACCCATTGTAAACAGGGCTATAATAAACATAGGTATGCAGGTTTACATATGTATATTGCAATGTATGTTATATTGTTACAATGTATATTGATTTACACTCATTCAGACATATACCCAAGAGTGGTATGGTGGGGGTCATAAGATTGATCTATTTTTGGGGCTGGGAAGGTGGTTCAGTGGTAGAGCACTTGCCTTGCATGCATGAGGCCCTGGGTTCAATTCCTCAGCACCACATAAGCAAAAAGAAAAAAGCCGGAAGTGGTGCTGTGGCTCAAGTGGTAGGGCACTAGCCTTGAGCTGAAGAGCTGAGGGACAGCGCCCAGGCCCAGAGTTCAGGCACCATGACTGGCAAAAAAAAAAAAAAAAGGTTGATCTATTTTTAGTTTTTTGAGAAACCTTTGCTGATTTTCTAAGCTTTAACTTACATTCCCTCCCAGCATTTGTTGTTGTTTGTTTTCTTGATAATTAACATTCTAACAAGGGTGAGATAGAATCACACTGTGTAGTTTTAATTTGCAGTTCCTTTATGGCTAAGGATGGTGAACATTGCTTTATATATTTATTAGCCATTTGTTATTTCTTTTTCTGAAAACTAATTGGTTCATTTACTCATTTATTAATTAGGCTATTTATTCATTTACTGTTTAGTTTGTTGAGCTCTTTGTATATTCTGCATGTTAATTGTTCATGAGTTGAATAGCTGCTAAGATTTTCTTCTATTCTGTGGGTAGTCTGTTTTGGAAAATGTTTCTTTGTTGTTGTTGGTCATGGGGCTTGAACTCAGGGCCTTGGTGCTATCCCTGAGCTTTTTCACTCAAGGCTAGCCCTCTGTCACTTTGAGCCACAACACCACTTCTGGTTTTCTGGTGGTTAATTGGAAATAAGAGTCTCATGGACTTTTTCCTGTCCGAGGCTGGCTTCCAAACGCAGTCCTCAGATCTTAGCCTCCTGAGTAGCTAGGATTACAGGTGGGAGTCATCAAGCACCAAGCTTAGAAAGTTTCTTTTGCTGTGCAGAAACTTTAATTTCCTACAGTTACGTTTTTCAGTTTTTGCTCTGGTTTTCTGAGCAATTGGGGTCTTAGTTCAGAAAATAATTCCCTGTGCTTGTATCTCCCAGAATTTTTCCCCTTTTTTTCTGGTAATATTTTCAGATCCTATAGTATCTTCTTAGTATTTTCTTTTCTTTTTTTTTTTTTTTGCAAATTCTTTATTGTGATTAAGTGATTACATAATTTCACAAATTTCACAGTATTGTGGGATAGTGATGCTTAAAGTCATAAACACATTCTAACTTTCATGGGGCAAATTGTCTATCATGGTCTATAAAGTTTATGAGTTCTATGAGCTTTGACAATAGTTATTCTATATCGGATGATATGTACGTTTTACATAGCATCAGCTGTTCCCTCTTTCCCACTTGTTCCCTTCCTCCCATTGCTGCCATTGAGTTGCTTAGTTTGTTTTGGTCAATGTCCAGTGCAGCTAATGGGTCCCGCTGTTGTATGTTTTTCCCTGATTCCCTCTAGTTCTGTGTCCTCCTCCTAGTTTCCCTCCAGTGTGCACATATATACCATATATGTGATCAGCAACATGGGGTTATTTAGTAGTGATTCGACCAGATGAGTGGAGGTCCTTTGTTTCTCAGGTCTTGTTAACTTTGTTGTTGAAAGTATCTACTTCTTAAAATTGTTTTGTTTATTGAGATGGAATATTCTGCAACACAGCTGAGCTGAGCAGGAAGTGACCCAAGGAAGACTGGAAATCAGACAGGTGATAAGGCCCACTCTGCTAGGAACCTCAGTGTCAGTGATGTCTTTTCAATTGTCTTTTTACCAAAGGACTTTTTAAACAAAATCTTGGGCTTCCTTCTATATTCCAAATGCTCTCATAGAGTTTCTGATAACCATTAGCTGCTACCTGTGGCTCTTGAGCACTTGAAAGGTAGGTAGTCCAAACTGAGATACAGTATGTATGTGTATAACAAAAATATACTATGAATTTAAAAGAGTATGAGAAAATGTAAAATTCAATTAAATATTAGAATAATAACTTAGAGATATACTAAGTTAATAAGACTTTGCTGATAAAGCAATAGAGAGCTGAATTCTGTGTATATAATATATAGACATCTGAATCATGATAAAACCTTTGGTGTAATTAAAGCATTGAATAAAAAGCCAGGCACTGGTGGTTAATGCCTGTAATCCTAGCTACTCAGGAGGCTGAGATCTGAAGATTGTGGTTCAGAGCTAGCCTGGGCAGGAAAGTCTATGAGAGTAATCTGCAGTTAACCACCAGAAAACCAGAAGTGGCACTGTGGCTCAAAGTGGTAGAGTGCTAGCCTTGAGTAAAAGAGCTCATGGACAATGTCCAAGCCTGGAGATCAAGCCCTATGACCAAAAATTAAAAGTATGGCTAGGCACCTGTGGCTCACCCTATAATCCTAGCTACTACTAGGAGGCTGAGACCTTGGAGATCACAGTTTGAAGCCAGCCCAGACAAGAAAGTCTATGAGACTCTTATCTGCAGTTAACCACCAAAAAGCCAGAAGTGGAGATGTGGCTCAAGTGGTAGAGTACTAGCCTTGAGTAAAAAAGGTCAGGGAGGGACTGGGAAGGTAGCTCAGTGGTAGAGTGCTTGCCTTGCATGCATGAGGCCCTGGGTTCGATTTCTTAGCACCACATAAGCAGAAAAGGTCCGAAGTGGTACTGTGACTCAAGTGGTAGAGTGCTAGACTTGAGCTGAAGAGCTAAGGGCCAGCACCCAGGCCCAGAGTTCAGGCCCCACAACTGACAAAAAAAAAAAAAAAAGGTCAGGGAATATGCTCAGGCCTCCAGTTCAAGCCTCAGGATGACATCCACACACAAAAATGACAGGAAAGTAAAAAAGGCTCCGTTGAGGGGACTTACCAGTGGGAAGGAGGAATACATTTAAAGATGAATATGTTGGAGGTAGTTTGTTTGAATGCAAGAAAATGAAACACTGAAAGCAGTTGAAAATAGGAAGGATTAAAAGGGAGAGGGGATGAGGTTGATTGAGATTTTATGTATGCAAGTGTGGAAATGTTACAATGAAACCTTCCTTATATAACTAATTTATGCTAATTAAATATTTGTATGTATTGTGATGCTGCTCCTAGTGCTTGTAGAACTGAGGCTAGAATTTAGGTCCTCACACTCTTGCTTAGTTTTTTCACTCAAAGCTGGCTCTCTACCACTTGAGCTGTACCTTCACTTCCAGCTTTGTGCTGGTTAATTTGAGATAAGAGTCTTTGGATTTGTCTGCCTGGCCTGGTTTTGAACCTCAATCCTCAAATCTCAGCCTTTGGATTAGATAGGATTACAGGTGTGAGCTACCAGAGCCTGGCTTTTCACCTTTTTGTTGTTGTTGTTGGTAGTGGGGCTTGAACTCTGGGCCTGAGCGTTGTCCCTCAGCTCTTCAGCTCAAAGCTAGTACTCTGCCACTTGAACTACAGTGTCACTTCCGGTTTTCTGGTGGTTATTTGGAGATAAGAGTCTCACAGACTTTCCTCCCCAGGCTGGCTTTGAACCACGATCCTCACTCAGATCTCATCCTCCTGAGTAGCTAGGATTACAGGCGTGAGCCACGAGCACTTTGCTTTGGCTTTTCACTTTTTGAATGTAGCTCTAGAATTTTTTAAATTATACATGTGACTATTTTATATTCCTTATGAACAGTATAGCTCTACATGTTTTATTACTTGAATTGAGACATTATACTTTTTACCCTCAAACTTGTTTTCTTTTGTGTAAGCTCAAAGCTTAGTTTTGTTGTTTTTTTATACTCTAGATATAGGCAAATTTCTCTACTAAATGGTCAACATATATTATTTAATTATATCACTTCTTCAGATTCCTATTCTTGCCTTCATTTCACATGTGAGAAATTTCCCAGTTCTTCTCTCTTGCACGCTTATTTAATGCATTCCAAGTCTTTAAATTCTGAAACTTCTGTTTATCTTTTCATTATGAACCCGTATCTCTGGTTGAGACTCTTAGCTTAGTGACCTCCCTTTGTTCCTTGCCTTTCTTTCTGTCCATTTATGTTGCTGTCAAAATCATCTTCCTAAAACATATGCCTAATCGTAATTCTTACATTCTAAAACTTTCCCATCGGCTTTCTAATTTTTAAAAGTAAAATCCTTCCTTAATATGGCTCCTAGCATCTTTTATCATCTGTTTTTGGCCTGTCAAAGTGGTAGCTCGTTTTTAGGGGAATTATTTTATTTTTTATGATCAGAGTAAACTTTAAGATCATTGGTAGAATTTCCAATACTAATAACAGTAATCTCTTAATAGGTTTAATCTTGTTCAGCGAACAGCACAAGCTTGCACAGCTCTGGCCTTTAATCTTCGTCGAAAGTCTGAATTCCTTGTGGCATTAGCTGATTATTCTATTAAATGTTTTGATACAGGTAAATGTTCTCTTATTTGTCTTTTGAATTGTTTTTCTTTGACAGTACTGACCCCCCTTTGACCCCCACATACCTTCACTCCTCTTAAGTGTGTTTGAAGCAGAGTAATATAGACTATAAGGAGCTTTGTACAGTTTGAAACATTGGTGGCCACATACATGGCTGCCTTCACATCAGACAGAGCCAGAAGCTTGTGGATCCAAGGACCATCCTTGCTTCAGATTGTCTGTTTACCATTTCAGGTTCGCTACTAACTTCAGGTTCAATAATTCACTAGAACACTCACAACTGTGGAAAGCATTATATATATGTGATGAGTGTAAAATAGCAGAAGGATATAAATCAAGAGCCAGCCATAGGAGATACAAAGCGTTGAATCAAGCTTTCTTCATCTTCTCTGCCATTTCGTGCCTCCTCATAGCATCCTTTGAATTCTTACTCTTCTGCTTTCCTCCATTCCATACTACAGCAACTTCTGTTGACATCAGAAAAGGTCATCTGATTTCATTTCATAGAACAAGGGCTTTTAAAATTATAATACTGGATTAAAAAGTAATATAAATGTAGCCTTGTGAAAAGTTGCTATTATCATCCTTATTTTTTCTCATTTCACTCAAAGCAGATGAGCAATAATCATTAACTAATTCCAGACTCCAGGCTGGTATTTAGAAGTTACAACTATTTCCCTAAGAAATTTGTTCCTTTATCTAGAGTTCAGACCTACTTTGTATCTTAAAATTTCTCACATTTATGTCTTGCTTTCTGACTTTTTAATTACATATTTTTTTTCTTTTTTTTTTTTTTTGTACCAGTCTTGGGACTTGAACTCAGTGCTTGCACTGCCCCTGAGCTTTGTTGCTCAAGGCTAGTGCTCTATCACTTGAGCCACAGCTTCACTTCTTGCTTTTTGATGGTCAATTGAAGATAAGAGTCTCATGGCTGACTTTGAACTTCATTCCTCATAAGGCATAAGCCACCTAACCTCAGCATTGATTCTATCTTTTGGGGGGAAGAATTCTGATTATAAAAGTGAAACATGTTATAGGAAACTTGGAAACATGGAAAAATGTTAAGATAAAAAGTTATATATAGGGGCTGGGAAGGTGGCTCAGTGGTAGAGCACTTGCCTTGCATGCCTGAGGCCCTGGGTTCGATTCCTCAGCACCACATAAGCAAAAAAGAAAAAAGCCGGAAGTGGCGCTGTGTCTCAAGTGGTAGAGCGTTAGCCTTGAGCTGAAGAGCTGAGGGACAGTGCCCAGGCCCAGAGTTCAGGCCCCACGACCGACCCAAAAAAACAACAACAACAAAAAAAAGTTACATATAATATTACTACCTAATGAAAGTTACCATGAATAGCTTCTATTTGTTATTATTACTGTACAAAGGGGTTATAATTCCTTAAGTGAGGTTATGAGTATAATACTTGCTGGACAGTGTCACCCTTTCCTTTGTTGTCTCTCATTTTCCCCCCTTCATGAGTAGTTTTTGGTGGTGTTTTCTCTGTGAAGCTATTTTTTTTTTCTTTTTTGTCAGTCGTGGGGCCCGAACTCTGGACCTGGATGCTGTCCCTCAGCTCTTCAGTTCAAGGCTAGTGCTCTACCACTTGAGCCACAGCGCCACTTCCAGTTTTCTATTGGTTTATTGGAGATAAGAGTCTCACAGACAACTTTCCTGCCCAAGCTGGCTTTGAACTGTGATCCTCCGATCTCATCCACCTGAGTAGCTGGGATTACAGGCATGAGCCATCGGCACTTGGCTGTGAGACTGTTTTCTCTGCACATATATACACAAACACATACACAATACTTCAGAACAAATTTTTTACCTTTTTTTTGAGACAAGGGCTAGTCCAGACTGGCTTTGAACTCACTATACTCCTGCCTCAGCCTTCTAAGTACTAGTATTACATGTTTGTTCCTCTATGCCAAGCTCAGAATCAATTTGTAAAATTGAATTCGTTGTCCTTTTATAAATACTACTATTTCTGTTTTTCCTTGTGTGTTACTTACATGAGTTACCAGCAACACCATCTGTTTATATAACTAAACTAGACCACTAGAGTTGTTGTTGGTACTTGGGTTTGAGGCCTTGTACTTGATTGACATGCATTCTACCACTTGACCCACTCCTCTAGCCAATCACTGGAGTCTTGCCTGTTTTATTTTTATTTTTATATTTTTGTTTTATGATGAAGTAGTTGTTCTAGAAGTTACAATTCTGTAAGTCCAGTTATGAATACCATACATACATCTTGATCCATGTCACCCTTTGCTCTCCCCACCATATCCCTCCTCCTGTGCCTACCCTCAGGTTACATAGTTCAGTTTTTATATCTGGAGTCTTTACTCTTTTATCTTAATACATTGAGTCAATCTCCAAGCTAAGTCTTTTGATATTTATTTCTTTTTAATGGCTTTAAATGTGTTTCTTCATTGACATTTTCTTAGTTTAAACATTTATCTCCTGCCTGGATTATTACAGCAACATGAAAATTAGTTTCCTTGTCCAATCTCTTCCCTTTTTCCAGTATTTCTACCATACGATGGATTCTCAGTGTTCTTTGTATAATATAGACTAATATAGACAAATATAGTTCTACATAAAATTATTACCCATAATACTGAGACTCCCTAGTGTCACATTTGAGGATATACTTAAATCCTCTGTAGGTTTCATCTTGATATTTCCACAGTACCTGTCACTAGTACATCCATGGTGCACGTTATCAGCTAGCCACAGGTTTCCATCAGTTGCTTCAGTTTATGGGTAATGCTTATGCATAGTGTTACTCAGAGATGAGAGAGGTTTACTTGTGTGATAACTTTTACTTTTGCCACAGTCACCAAGGAGCTGGTTAGCTGGATGAGAGGACACGATTCATCGATATTTTCGATCTCTGTGCATGCATCAGGGAGATACGCCATCACGACTTCTTCTGATACAGCACAACTGTGGGACTTGGATACCTTTCAGCGGAAAAGGAAGCTGAATATTCGCCAGTCTGTGGGTATTCAGAAGGTCAGTAACGGAGGATATCTTGGCTTATTCTGTATCTTGGGTTAGTTTCTTGGTCAGCAGGATTTCAAGATGATAGAATAGTGATAGTGCATGTTGCCTCACATAGCTATGGTCTCATAACTCAGGAAAAGACAAAGTGGCCAACTTGATTAACTGTGTTACCTACAACATTTTGTTTTTAAAGTATTGAGCATTTTATTTTCCTTTTAATGTTACAGCTATGAAACTTTTAACTCTCATAACATGATCAGTTTTTTCATTTTGTTAACTCCTCCCCCAAATTTTGTAACTCATAACATGATCAGTTTTTTTCATTTTGTTTAACTCCTCCCCCCCAGTTTTGTTATAAGTTCAAACATATTGCAGATATGTAAGAATTTAAAGTGAACACATGTACACTCACCTTGTAGTCTATGATTAGGTTGTTAACTATACAATCCTTTACTGTACCTTACATGTTAAGTCCTACATTATGTGCATTTATGCTTTTATGCCTCTGTTCATTGTGTGTTTTCAAGTAATCATAAGCATCAGTGTACTTCCCCTTAAATACTTAAAGCTATGTTTAATTGACTATAGCTTAACATTTGTTATTGTGAGGTTTATATATATAAATGTCTTAAGTAGATATATATATATATATGTGTGTGTGTATATATATAGACACAAGTATACACATATATGTATTTTATATAAACATATATGTGGTTATACCTGCACGCACACTGTTCTTAAAATGATTCAAGTCTTAAGTATTCATGTTAAGTTTGTTAAATATTACTGGTGCCTCACCTGTATAACCTGGCACATCCTATCATTCCCATCACTCCAAAATCTTCCCTTGTGTCCTTCTTGGATAGGCACCCTGCTGATGTTTTCTACTATAGATTTTGCCTGTTCTAAAATTTCATACAATTTTTTGGCCTATTTAATGATAGCTTATAGTTTTTGATATTTGTCTATATTGTATGTATCAGAAAAGTTACACCTTTTATTATAGATTAGTATTATATATGTTGTTTATATATATATATCTATTGTGTATATATATATATATATATATATACACACACACACATACATATATATATATATATAAATATACCTTTTTAAAAAATATCCATTTCTGGGCTGGGAAAGTGGCTCAGTGGTAGAGCACTTGCCTTGCATGCTCGAGGCCCTGGGTTCAATTCCTCAGCACCATATAAGCAAAAAGCCAGAAGTGGCGCTGTGGCTCAAGTGGTAGAGCGCTAGCCTTGAGCTGAAGAGCTGAGGGACAGCGCCCAGGCCCAGAGTTCCGGCCCCACAACCGGACCCAAAAAAAAAAAAAAAAAAAAAATATCCATTTCTTTTACTTTTTTTCTGTTAGCTAAATACTACTTTCAGAAGTATCTGGGTCTCCCATATAATTAATTACTTTGCTTTAAGTTATACTATATACTTGCTATTGCTTTTAATTTCTTGGTTATTAATATGAACAGCTAGTAATGCATGTAAACCAAAAATTTATTTTGTAGTCTCCCTGAGAAATCCCAGAGTTGTTTAGTGTGCCTTTAGTAATTAAAAAGAAGATAAATGTTGTAGCTAGCTTATTCATTAGGGGTTTAGACCAAATGTCTTAGTAGGTCTTTTTTTAAAATTGCTTTAGCACTTAAATTGAATTTTAAATTTGTTTCAAAGAAAGACTATTGGGAGTTGAATCCACAATGGAAGTAGTTATGAAACAATGACCTAGGAACCATCTGTTCTTTTACAATGAAATTAAAATTGTATATACTGGGTAGTCACAAATGCTAATCTTGCTTGGTCGTTTAGACATTTTAGTTTAAAAAGATGGATGACTAAATATTAGCAGTATAAGAATAAAATTAAATATATTGGTCTAAAATAATAAAGTGCCATAGTCTAATTACCAGAAAAATTTTAAGGGAGCAGATAGTAAATTTTTTTGGCCAGGTAGGCCCACAGTAAAATTATATAACCATCTAATTATTTTTTGACATTTAGGTCCTGAGCTATGCAAAATTTGGAGGTAGGCTACATAGTTATCACTTCTGGCTTACACTATTGAAAATAAAAAAACAGATATAACCTAATCTTAAAGTAAAACCTTAATTCAGCCAGGCACCGGTGGCTTATGCCTGTAATCCTAGCTACTCAGGAGGCTGAGATCTGAGGATCATGGTTCAAAGCCAGCCTGGGCAAGGAAAGTCCATGAGACTCTTATCTCCAAAAAACCACTAGAAAACTTGAAGTGGCTCGGTGGCTCAAGCAGGTAGAGCACTCGCCTTGAGCTGAAGAGCTGAGGGATAGCACCCAAGTCCAGAGTTCAAGCCCCACGACTGACCAAAAAAAAAAAAAGGTAAAACCGTAATTCTTATTAAGTTTTATTAAGTTTTTTTCTATTTTGTCTACTCAGGATTGAATCTGCAGCCTGGTACATTCTAGGCAAGCATTTTGTCTGTTGAGCCATACCTCGAGCCCTTTGTTGCTTTCCTTGTTTGATTTGGGTCTCATTTTTTGCCTGAGCTAGTCTGGACTGCAACCCACTTATTACTTCTGCTTAGCTATGAAGATAGATACACAATACCATGCCCACATTTCTTTTTTAATTGATAAAAATGGGGTTGTGAACTTTTGCCTGTGTTATCCTCAAACCAATTTCTTCCCAATCTCAGCCTCCTAAGTAGCTAGAATTATGGGCATAAACCATCACACCTACTGGCTTTTGTTATTTTAAAGACAGTCTAACTGGTAGAGTGGGCCAAATGGTAGAACATTTTTCTAGCAAGTGCAAGGCCCTGAGTTCAAACCCCAGTGCTGCCCAATAACATCAACAGAAAACAGGTTTTACTTTTTGTCCAGTTCCACCTAGACCATGATCCTCCTAGTGGGATTCCCACATAGAAGGGATAGCAGGCTTATGTACCAGACCCAGCTTTTTATTAGTTGTGATAGGATTTATCAAATGTTCTGCCTATACTGCCTCCTGCTCTCTACCTCCCTTAAACCTAGGATTACAGCTATGCCTTGCAACAGCTAGCATTTTATGAAGTTATTTTTGAGCTTAAATCATCCTAAGAGATACATACTGTTTTCTGCCTTTTACAAGAGAGGAAATCAAAGTTCAGAAACAATGAGTAACGTGTCCAGTGTCACAATAGCTTATAAAATAGCTGTACTTTGAATCTAACCTGTTCGACTATAGAGCAGTTCCATCACACCATACCAAATCGGTTGCATACCTCTTCAAATGAGCACATGTTGATGCTTCTGTTGGTGATTATTGGCAGGATATGCAGTTCTTCAGTTAGGGTTTTGAGGATTGATTTTGGGATTTGTATTTACCGTGGTTCAACATTCATGAGAAAGGGCTCTGGGTGTGAATGAACTCAAGTCATTCTCTACATGCAGTGAGCACTTCCTGACTTTCTGCTGAATTGTACGTTTGGCTCACATCCTAATATTACTATCTTGAACTCTTTCAACTTTTTTACTTTTTGCTTGGTGATAGTTGCTAGCTTTTGCTTTTCAGTATTATACAACCAATATCAACTATGATATTGATAAGCTTCTGAACAGGTAGAACTCTAAACTTTGATCAGAGTTCACCCACTCTCTCAGCTGAGTGGGGAAGTACTGGCTTGGATATGGTTTGAGTTGTGCCAAAAGTTTGGTTCTCCATGTGGCTACATTAGGAGGTAGTGGAACCTTAAAAAGTAGAGCCTAGTAGAAAACGAGGGGTCCATCCTTGGAAAAGGTTATTGTAGGCCTCAGGGACCCTGTGAGAAGGGAGAAGAGACTGGAAAGAGATGGCAGGAGCTTTACCCCTGAATCTCTGTGGCTTCCTGCCTCATGTGATACTTCCCACCCCACACCCTGCCACTATGACACCATCACTCAGCAGACACAAGCACTGCTCTGAGACCTCGACAACCCTGAGCAAAATATACCTCTTTTTTTACAGACCACCTAGTCTCAAGTATTTTGTTATAGCACCAGAAAATTGACTAAAATTTAAGCCTTTCTTTTTTTTTTTGTCGGTTGTGGGGCTTGAACTCTGGGCCTGGGCACTGTCCCTCAGCTCTTTAGCTCAAAGCTAGTGCTCTACCACTTGAGCTACAGCGTCACTTCCAGTTTTCTGGTGGTTTATTGGAGATAAGAGTCTCATGGACTTTCCTGCCTGGGCTGGCTTTGAACCATGATCCTCAGATCTCAGCCTCCTGAGTAGCTAGGATTATAGGCATGAGCCACCGGCACCTGACTAAGCCTTTCATATTCTATGAAGGAAAAATGTAGTCCTGGCCTTGTACTCAATCCCCTAGAAGTACATTTTGTTAATGCTTTTGAAGTTTATCCTGTTTTTTTTTTTATGTTGTCAGGAGGTGACACTATCTAAATAATAATGACATGTTTCATTAGGAACAATTTTATAATCATTAAAACGAGCAATTAAAATCACAAATCTAGTAATGAATAATCATGCAGGCAATAATCTATCACAACCATTCTCCGAAAATAGCAGTTGATGCTCATTAACTTTTTAAGCTTTTGCTTTTCCCAGTAGGAATAAACTTTATTACTTTTCTAGAAAAAAATGAGACTGCTAATTATAATAAGAATTTGCTTAAATCAATTTCTGACATCAGTTTTGATAGTGTCTTAATGTAGTCATTACAGATTATAATGTATTTATTGCAAATTCCTTCCATAAGATCTTTGCATTAAAAACTCATCCTAACATACAATCTGTTAGCAAAGGTCTCCTAGAGATTGTGCTTGACAAAGTGAGCCAAACACCAAAGTAAGGAGCTGGAGCAGGCCCTTGCCTGGTCTGTCAGCATCTTATGTAGTTGTGGTGGTGGTTGTTGTTGTTATAGTGGTGGTGGTGGTAGTGATTGTTTTAATCATCCTAGTAGATGATTCTCATTAGCTAGTATAATCCATAGTGCCCTATCTATGTATATTTGGTGCAGGTATATTCACAGAATCATATTTGAGGCCATCAAAGCTTTTATGGTCAATTTCCTGGGATGTTTTCTTGGCACTAGAGATCAAAACCAGGGCCTCACCAATGTTAGGCAGGCACTCTGCATTAAGCCACACCCCAAGCTGCTAATAAAAAATTTGTATCATAACAAAGACACATTGATCCAGGCTCTGATTGGCTCAGGCTTTTAATCCTAGCTACTAATGAGGCTGAGCTCTCAAGATTACAGTTTGAAGCCAGCCAGGGCAGGAAAATCTCTGAGACTCTTATCTCCAATTAACCACCAAAAGAGCTGGCAGTGGAGTTATGACTCAAGTAGTAGAGTACTAGCCTTGAACAAAAAAGCTCAAAGCTCTAAGTTCAAGCCCCAGGATTAGCACACACCAAAAAGAAGCATCATTTTTTAGAGCTTATATAATAAGAGAAAAGCAAAAACATAGAACAAAATGACATTTTCAACTCTGGTATCAATGTATTTCATTCTTGGTCTTTAATTGAATTGAATCTCTAATAAAAATATATATGCAAATTCAGCATTTTTTGAGAAGTAAGGTTTGAGACAGGGTGTCACCGAATATCCCAGCATGGCCTGGAACTCATTAGCTAGCCTAGGCTGACCTCAAACTCCTGATCCTCTTATCTCTCAAGTGCTATGAATACAAATATCGCCACTAGGCCTTGCTTCATGTTCAGCTTTATAATCTTACAACTAATGATAGTATTTATTATTTTTTTTTGTCTTTTCTTTTTGGCTACTGGAGATTGAACCCAGGATGTTGCACTTGCTAGGCGAGCGCTTTGGCACTGAGCTACATCCCAGCCCTAATGATGGCATTTATCTTAAAACATTTTACCAGTTAATCCCAAAGGACTTAACTCTTGCAAGCAAATTGATTCAAGAGAAATTCTTTTTTTGGGGGGGGGGGGGGTTGGGGGTATCCAGTCGTGGCCTGAACTCTGGGCCTGGGCGCTGTCCCTCAGCTCTTCAGCTCAAGGCTAGCGCTCACTACTTGAGCCACAGTGCCACTTCCCGCTTTTTTTTTTTTTTTTTGCTTATGTGGTACTGAGGAATCGAACCCAGGGCCTCATGCATGCAAGGCAAGCACTCTACCACTGAGCCACCTTCCCAGCCCCCTCAAGAGAAATTCTGAGACAGAGACTGGGAAGGTGGCTCAGTGGTAGAGTACTTGCCTTGCATGCATGAGGCCCTCAGTTTGATTCCTCGGCACCACATAAGCAGAAAAAGCTGGAAGTGAGGCTGAGGCTCAAGTGGTAGAGCACTAGTCTACAGCTGAAGAGCTGAGGGACAGCGCCCAGGCCCAGAGTTCAGGCCCCACGACCGACCAAAAAAAAAAAAGAGAGAGAGAAATTCTGAGACATTCTCTCTCAACATCTTAGTACAGGGGCCTGAACTTGGGGCTTCAACATTCTTGATTAGTCTTTTCCATTCATGGCTGCCACTACTGTACTACTTGAGCCACAACTCCAGTCCAGCTTTTTGCTGGTTAAGTAGAGCTGGATTCTTATGTACTTTTCTGCCCGGACTGGCTTTGAACCTTGATTCTCAGCTCTCAGCCTCCTGAGTAACTAGGATCACAGGCATGAGCCACCAGCACCTGGCTGACATGTCAAGATCTTTAACTAAGTTTTGCTCATAGCAACAGAGTATGGTAGTGCCCCTTTCCTATACTTTCACATTCAACAATTAGTATTCAATAGTGCTTGTATTAGTATGGAGTCATGTACTGCTAAAGAGCAAGGATATAGTCTGAGAGATAAATTCTTTGGTGATCACATTGTATGAGCACTGTAGCATACTTATACAGTACTAGATGGAACTGACCAGTTACCTGACAGGGCCTGGTCTTGATACCATCAAGGCCAAATGAACACGAGCTGTATGAGGCTGCTGCAAGTGTAAGGTAGTATATCAAGTAGGAGTAATCCAGTCTTAACACTAAAAATTATAGTAAATACATTAATGAGAAGCAATCATTTATTACTATCAGGTTATATACTATCCTGTATATGATTATATGTGTTTTACTTACACAATTGGTAGTGTAGAATGTTTATTTTCATCAATATCATCACAAACATCGAATAGTAAGTTGTACTACAACTTTACTACTGCTATATGTCACTGGGTGATGCTAATTTTTCAACCCTATGAAATCTGAGACAACAGTTGTTGAAACATTATGTTGGAAGATGATTGTATAGTTTATCATTGCGTATATATTTTTTATTGTGAAAATACTGTATAGAGGGGTTACAATTACATGGGCATAATTGCGTATATTAGTGTATATAAACATATTCATTAGTTTTTTGGCAAGTTTGTTACTCTAAATAGTGCCTCACTTTTGGTTGAATTTTCTTAATATAAGATAAAGAAATTGTAATTGTTATATAGAATTTTGTGAATTTCCTACTCATTCTAGTCAACTTTTTTAGTTGAATGGGCTTACCATTTCTTTTTAGTTGATTATAGTTTAGGAAATAACAATATTATCCTACTGTATATTATACATTAATTTTTTTTTTTTGGTCAGTCGTGGGGCTTGAACTCTGGGCTTGGGTGCTGTCCCTCAGCTCTTCAGCTCAAGGCAAGCGCTCCACCACTTGAGCCACAGCACCACTTCCAGTTTTCTAGTGGTTTATTGGAGATAAGAGTCTCACGGACTTTCCTGCCCGGGCTGGCTTTGAACTGTGATCCTCAGATCTCAGCCTCCTGACTAGCTAGGATTACAGGCATGAGCCACCGGTGCCCAGCCTTATTCATTAATTTTTCTATAGTATAAGAAAAGACAATTACAGCCGGGCACCGGTGACTCACATCTGTAATCCAAGCTATGCAGGAGACGAAGATCTAAGGATCATGGTTCAAAACTAGCTGGGCAGGAAAGTCACTGAGCTGTTTATCTCTAATTAACTATTTAAAAAAAAAAAAAAAGCCAGAGGTGGAGCTGTAGCTCAAGCTCAGTGACAGTGCCCGGCCTCTGAGTTCAAACCCAGGATTGACACAGGAAAAAACAAAAAACAGGAAAAAGTAATTTTAAAAAAGACTGTATAATTTCCAGTTTAATAGTTGTATCTGAACCTAATGTAAATAATAACTTTTTCTATCTCCAGGTTTTCTTTCTACCTTTAAGTAACACCATCCTCAGCTGTTTTAAAGATAATTCCATCTTTGCTTGGGAATGTGATACTCTTTTTTGCAAATATCAATTGCCAGCTCCACCTGAAAGTTCTAGTATAATATACAAAGTGTTTGCTGTAACCAGGTAATTATTAATTTTCTGAAAGTATAGTATATAATAAAATCTATTTAAAAAGAAAAAAGAAAAAAGCAACAACCAGCACCTGTAGCTCACATCTATAATCCTAGCTAGTTGGGAGGCTGAGAACCGGAGGATTGAGGTTTGAAGACTGCCCAGGCAGAAAAGTTCATGAGACCCCTTCTCATAGCCAGGCTTGTTGGTATGCATCTGTCATCATAGTTTTGTGGGAGGCTAAAAATAGTTCTAAGTCAGCATGATCAGAAAAGTCCTTGAGACTCTGTCTCAACAGAAGCAGTTTGGTGTAGTTAGCATGCATCTGTCATCCAGTTATGAAGGGAACCCTAAAACATGGTCCAAGTGTGTGTCTAGCAAGAAGTGAGACCTGTCTCAAAGGTAACTATTGTGAAAAAGGACTGGAAGTGTTTCTCAGTGGTAGAATGCCTGCCTACTTATACAGGGAAAATGAGTTTTTTGTCAGCTGGGATAAAGTTATTTATTTGTTAATTTGCCTTCCCTAAACTGAACATCTTGTAAGAGCAGGATTGCCAGACTCGTTCAGTTTACTTGACTTGTTCACTACTCTGATCCTGGCTTCTGGAGTGATAACTGACTGTACCAGACCTTTTAGAATTAAGAAGCAACAGCCTGGCCAGTCAGTATAGCTTTTCAACTCTGCTTCCTACTCCTCCTTCCTCCTCCCCTCATCTTTTATTGAGATCAGTAAGGACCAAACCCAGGGCCTAGGGCATGCTAGGCAAGTGCTTTATCACTGAGCTACTTTTCCAGCCCTTAACTTTTTTTTTTTTTTTTTGGTTGTAGGGCTTGAACTCTGGGCCTGAGCGCTGTCCCTCAGCTCTTCAGCTCAAGGCGAGCGCTCTACCACTTGAGCTACAGCACCACTCCCGGTTTTCTAGGGGTTTATTGGAGATAAGAGTTTCATAGACTTTCCTGCCCGGGCTGGCTTTGAACCGCCATCCTCAGATCTCAGCCTCCTGAGTAGCTAGGATTACAGGTGTGAGCCACCGGCGCCCGGCCAGCCCTTAACTTTTGTATCTTATAAAAAATAACTTCCTGAGCAGGAAAAAAGTTTGGCTCTTTTTAGTTTTCAAATAGAAATGTACTCGCTATCAATTCTTTTTTTTTTTTTTTGGTCAGTCATGGGGCCTGAACTCTGGGCCTGGGAGCTGTCTCTCAGCTCTTCAGTTCAAGGCTAGTGCTCTACCACTTGAGCCACAGTTCCACTTCCAGCTTTTTATCTGCTTATGTGGTGCTGAGGAATCGAACCCAGGGCCTCATGCATGCAAGGCAAGCACTCTACCACTGAGCCACCTTCCCAGCCCTTACTACGAATTCTTTTTTTTTTTTTTTTTTTTGCCAGTCCTGGGGCTTGAACTCAGGGCCTGGGCACTGTTGCCGAGCTTTTGCTCAAGGCTAACACACTATCACTTGAGTCACAGCGCCACTTGTGGCTTTTCCTGTACATGTGGTACTGAGGAATGGAACCCAGGGCTTCATGCATGCTAGGCAATCACTCTACCACTGAGCCACCTTCCCAGCCCTTACTACCAATTCTTTATGGAGAAATACAGAGAGTTGGATACTGTTGAGTTACTTTGCTGTTATTTAATAAAGTGTAAATGTTACTTAGAAACTCCAAATGATTGATGAACTGATACCTTAGGGCAATATGTGAAAAATGCATAAACCTGAGTTGTATGGTGGTCACTGGCTAAGGCAATATGTGAAAAATGCATAAACCTGAGTTGTATGGTGGTCACTGGCTACCTGTGACTAATAAACGTTTAAATCTGTTTCCTCAGTAGTTCTAGCCACTTTTCAAGTACCCTGGTGGGCAGCATGGATTAGAATATGTTTACCATCATAGAAAGTTGTACTGGACAGTGCTGCAATAAATAATTCAGCTAGTCTGGCTTCCTCACCTTTTGTTGTATAGAGATGGGCGGATCCTGGCTGCTGGAGGCAAATCAAATCATCTGCACTTGTGGTCCTTGGAAGCTACACGGCTCTTCAGAATTATCCAGATGCCTACCAAAATACGAGCCATTCGCCATCTGGAATTCCTTCCTGATAGCTTTGATGCTGGTTCTAATCAGGTTAGTAACAGAAATGTAGAGTGTTGTACTTTTTGAAAAAGAAATGTATTAGAACTTAGCTATTTAACTTACACTGTGACTTAGAGAATTGGAAATTACCAAGATATTTTTGTGAAAAGTTTAGAATTGAAAATTACCTATTCTTTTTTATTAATTACAAATGGTTACTTTAATATTCTTATTTTAAATTGCTTATCATGATGTCATATTCTTTTTTCTTAGTTTTTTGTCAGTCGTGTGGCTTAGATGCTGTCCCCAAGCTCTTTAGCTCAAGGCAAGCACTCTACCACTTGCCATTTTCATATCCTATGGAGTTGAAATAGTGACATAAAGGTTTTCTGAATGTGTAAAATTTGTAATAGGATCTTTCCAGGTATCCTCCAGAAAGGTTGTATTCACTGCTAATGAGGGGGTTTGTTCCCTGCCAGCCAGTCAGCCAAAGAGCATGCTTTTTACATTGTCCCTTCCAAACTGCCTTGTGTGTCGCAAGTACAACATCAGAATTGCCGCAGTAAGAGGGTTGTCATGTTTATGAAATCTTACTAGGAAACGAACTTGTACCTAAGGTACAGGCAAAAGAATTTATTTGCTTAAACTTTTGATTACATGCTTTATGTTTTTTTTTTTTTTTTGTCGGTCGTGGGGCTTGAACTCTGGGCCTGGGCGCTGTCCCTCAGCTCTTCAGCTCAAGGCGAGCGCTCTACCACTTGAGCTACAATGCCACTTCCGGTTTTCTGGTGGTTTATTGGAGATAGGAGTCTCACGGTCTTTCTTGCCCGGGCTGGCTTTGAACCTCGATCCTCAGATCTCAGCCTCCTGAGTAGCTAGGATTATAGGCGTGAGCCACCAGCGCCCGGCATGCTTTACGTTTTCAAACTATGTGTAAATAATGTTTTTTTCTTTAAAAGACTAGTTTCCCACCCACTTCTCTACCACTGTCCTTGGAATCCACAGTCTCTCTACACTCCCCAATATTAGTTATAATAGCTGAAGGGGAGCAGAGTGTAGGAAGCCCCACCAGGAATCACAGGGCTGTGTTTAGGCAGCAGGACAAACCTCCACCCTCCTCCATTCTGTCAGCCAGTGTGAGGTAAAAGTGAGCTTCATCCAAGCTTAGATGACCTCTATATAGTTCCCCTGTATATATTCCTTACTGTTTGAGGTTATAGTTGAGCTTGCCTGGCTTGAAGAAGGCAAATCAACCTAAGCCATAATTAGTGAGTTTTAGATGCATAGGGGCTAAATGAGAATAGAATCTCCTACAGTTTTTTCTTCTCAAAAAAATAGGGGCTGGGGGCTGGGAAGGTGGCTCAGTGGTAGAGCGCTTGCCTTGCATGCATGAGGCCCTGGGTTCGATTCCTCAGCACCACATAAGCAAAAAAAAAAGGAAAAAAAATATATATGTACATGTGCATCTACAGAGTATATGTGTATGTAGTTTCAGATTTTTAGCTTTTGAATGTCTTACAAACTCATTGTCTCTACTCTTAGGTTCTTGGAATACTAAGTCAAGATGGTATTATGAGGTTTGTCAATATACAGACCTGTAAACTTCTTTTTGAAATTGGGAGCCTTGATGAAGGGATTAGTTCATCAGTAATCAGCCCACACGGACGATATATTGCATCTATTATGGAAAATGGAAGCCTAAACATATATTCAGTTCAAGCATTAACACAAGAGATAAACAAGGTATGTTACCAAGCAAACAATAACTTTTTTAGAAAACATTATAACTTAATAAAGCTAATTTCATGCTTGGGTATTAATCTTATTGCACAAAGACATTGTTAAATCCATAGGTGGGCTTGGACACATGGTATGGATGGTAGAATACTTAAAGCCCTGAGTTCAGCCCCCAGGACTACAAAAAAATAAACATCCACTGATATCTTCAAGTAGGACTCCTAAAACCTGCCAGACTTACAAGAAGCAAATACACTTACTGTCATAAACCAAAAATATCAGAGCAGGGCTAGAAATGTGGCTCAGTGGTAGAGTGCTTGCTTAACATACATGAAGTCCTGGGTTTGATTTCACGGTACTACATAAACAGAAAAGGCTGGAATACTGTATATAGGGGTTACAGTTACATGAGTAAGGTAATGAGTACATTTCCTATCGAGCATTGTTAACCCCTCCTTTGTTTTTACCCTACCATCCCTTCCCTCTCCATATCCCCAACTCCTCCCTCCCCCACCCAACTGCATCTTTTGTATCTAGCAAAAACTGGCTTTGATTTGTTAGTCAGCAAGATACCATTCTTAGCAGTTCACTTGGACTTTCTGCCTGAAGAATAATTATATATAATAAAGCATGCCATTCAAGCAGATTTAGAAATCATTTATTACATGTCTTTTCCGAGAATATCTAGTAGGAGTCTTTTTTTTTTCTTTTAGCCACCTCCTCCTTTAGTCAAAGTGATTGAAGATTTGCCTAAGAATATCCCAACTTCTGGTGATGTTAAGATGAAGATGACATCAGGAAGAGTGCTTCGGCCAGCAAGATGTAAGGAGCACAAAACTCAAACTAGAATAATAAAGCAAGACCTGACTGGTAACTTAGAAAATAAAGAGGTAAGAAGACCTGACTAACTTGTGTTCGTCATCATTCTTCTCTAGCAAGGCTCATGATTCCTAGGTCATCATCATTTTTCCCTCTGTAGGGGCCTACCAGGATTATTATATAAAGATTATGAATAAGGATGATTTTATATATTATATATTTGTTATTATATAAAGAAGAGAAAAGTATTTCTAACTCTTTTTACATGGATACAGTATATGTTGATGGTTTTTACAAAGTCTATAAAATTATACTCTGTAATATGCTAGTAAGTGGTTAATGTGTGTTAATAAGAATCAAGATACGCCAATAATGTGAAATACATGGTAAGACCAAAATCACGTAAAACATCTCATTAATCAGTGATTTTGGTATCATGTATTGAAAGGATATTTTGATAATATTGGGTTAAATAAATTGTATTCAGTTAGATGTACATACCTAGGTGCTTCTTTACCTTTTTCTATGTAGGAAGTTTTAAGTTACATTTGTGACTATATAGATAAGGGTATAAAGGGAAATAGTGAAAGTATGCTTTTCTTCCATCTTGGTCCCTGTCCCATTGGCCACTGGACTCCCTGAAGGTAACCAAGATGCCATGTAGTAGGATTACATTGTGGTAACAAATTTCAATGAGTTTTTTTCTCTTTTTAAATTATCTGCAAAACACATTACTTTAGAATAGCAAATAAATACAAATATGAAGAGAAGTTATTAACATTATTTTAAGGAATTTTGTCTTTACTAGCAATCAATATACACACAAAAGTATGTACAAGTACAATGAATTTTCACAGACTGAACGTACCCATATCATCTGCACTCATATCAAAAAGTAAAACATGACCAACACCCTTCTTCTCCTTTCTAGACATCGCTCCTTACCTTGATGATAATTCTCTTTTAGGGAGAAGAGTGAGTAAAGGTACTGGAGATTGAATTTAGAATCTAACACATGCTAATAAGCATTCACTCTGCTACAGACCTATATCTCAGCTTAGAAAATTATTCTCATGATAGTACCATAGACTAATACTGTCAAACAGTGGTTTCTGAATGGATTTGCAACTTATACTCTAATCAGCAGTATTTGAGAGTTTTTGTTGTTCCATATTCTCACCAACACTTGGTATTTTTCACATTAATTATTTTGTGTGTGTGTTTGTGTGCACACACACACCAGTATTTGGGCTTTGAGTTCTTACTTGGCTTTGTTACTTAAAGCTGGCACTCTACCACTAGTAATTTTTTTTCTTTAAGAATTTTTTTTTTTCGGTCTTGGGGCTTGAACTCTGAGCTTGAGCATTGCTGTTCCTGAGCTCATTTGCTCAGGGCTAGTGCCTGCTGCTTTGAGCCACAGCACTATTTCTGGTTTTTGAGTGGTTAATTGGAGATAAGAGTCTCATGGGGACTTTTCTGCCTGGGCTGGCTTCAACTCACAATTCTCAGATCTTAGCCTCCTAAGTAACTGGGATTACAGATGTGAGCCACTGGCACTTGGCTTTCTTTATAAATTTTTAAATTATGAAATCTACATGTACAGAAGAGTATATAAAGCAGTATATAAAACAGTAAAGCTTAATTTAAAAAATAAAAAGATCACACATCTAACTTGAGTTAGGTGCTCTCACAGTTTGTTCAGATTTCATGCTTTGTTAGGGTTCAGTGTAGAAATCATTCATATTAGAAAAATACAAAGCAAAATCAGCGAAGGATAAGTGTACATGAGTTGAGGTCCAGAGAAATCAGGCACAAGCTTCCCAAAGTCTTCATCTCTATTTAATCCTTCTAGCAGTGAATTGTAATATACAATACCAAGTATTGTTTGCTAAGGAAATCATTAGAAACTCAATGCCTACATCTTTTACATGAGGCTAGTTATGTAGGCTTCTTGGCCTCCTGAGTTCAGGGATTACAGATGTGTACCATCACACCTGGCATACATGTTGTATTCTCAGATTGGAAGTAGATTACCATGTTTTTACTTGCCTGTCACTTGTTTATACTATCTTTTTATAGAATGAATTGTCAGATGGATTAAACAAAAAACGTTTACAAATCTTATTAAAAGGCTATGGTGAATATCCAACAAAATACAGGTAAATTTTTAATTCTTTTTTTTTTTTTTGTGGGTGGGTGTGGGGAAGCAGCGGTAATCTGGCACCATTTTTTTCTCAATCATTATCCGAAAAGAAAACATTCTCAAAAAACACCAAGAATCAGTGGCTCACGCCTGAAATCCTAGCTACTCAGGAGACTGTGGTCTGAGGATCTTAGTTCAAAGCCAGCCAGGGCAGGAAAGTGTGAGACTCTTATCTCCAGTGAACCACCAGAAAACTGGAAGTGGTGCTGTGGCTCAATTGGTAGAGTACTCACCTTGAGCTGAAGAGCTGAGGGACAGCACCTAGGCCCAGAGTTCAAACCCCATGACGGACAAAAAAAGAAAGAAAACATTCTCAAGTAGTATCATTACAAAAAGCTCTGATAAGCCAGTCACTGGTAGCTCAGACCTGTAATCCTAGCTCTCAGGATGCTGAGATCTGAGGATCGCAGTTTGAAGCCAGCCCAGGCAGGAAAGTCTGAGACTCTTATGTCCAATAAACTACTAGGAAAAGGCCAGAAGTGGTGCTGTGGCTCAAGTGGTAGAGTGCTAGCCTTGAGCAAAAAGAAGCTCAGGGACAGCACCCAGGTCCACAGTTCAAGCCCCAGAACTGGAAGGAAGGAAGGGGAAAAAAAAACAGCTCTGATAAAGCCGTCACTACGGTGTGTCATAAAGCAGGTACAAGGTATTTTGCATTCAGGGAGGTAGGATACAGTCCTGTCCTACATCTATACTACTAGGAGGTACAATTAACAAGGCATTATTTGAGACTTGATTCTACTTTTCCCATTAGAGGGCCCAAAGAATGGTTTGACCCAGCTCTGTAAAATTCACTTTCTTAGATTAAATTCTTTACACTAAATCACTTTTGCTCAAAAAGTTTTTATTTAAAATTACATTTTAATTTCAGGATGTTCATTTGGCGCTCTTTATTACAACTGCCTGAAAATCATACTGCATTTAGCAACCTACTAGATAAGGGCACTCATGTGGCATTTCTCAACCTTCAGAAGTTATACCCCATCAAAAGTAGGAAGCTACTCAGAGTTTTACAGAGGTATGTTACAGCTGTGGACATGAAACCTATAGATAGTCATTGCAATGTTTTAAAATCCTTTGTCACTTTGATTATCCTGTGTGACATATTGGCTCATTTGAAAATCAGACATATGCATGTATATATAGTACATATGAATATTAGCTGTGTTGTGTTCTAGAAAACAGGAATCTTTTTGATTACTTAAAGGAATGAAGCAGTATATTAGAAAGAGCTTAGAATTTAAAGGCAAAAGACCCAGCTTTGAAATCTTATTCCATAGCTGAGTAACTGATGTAGGATATGTCATTATCTCATCATTAATTTCTTACACCAGCTTAACACCAGCTTTCAAGGATTTCTGGCATAATTAGAAGAAAATCTCTTAGAATTTAAGACATTGATACCTGTTCCTAAGATCCATTACTTCCCCAGAAATCAGTAAAGTGCTGACAATCTAATTCTATTAGTCCCTCTCCTTTTATGAACAGGGTAATTTCTATAAAGAAGAACTTTTTTGTTATCAACTCTTTTTTTTTTTTTTTTGGGTCCAGTCATGGGGCCTGAACTCTGGGCCTGGGTGCTATCCCTCAGCTCTTCAGCTCAAGGCTAGCACTCTACCACTTGAGCCACAGCGCCACTTCTGGCTTTTTTCTTTTTGCTTATATGGTGCTGAGGAATCAAACCCAGGGCCTCATGCATGCAAGGCAAGTGCTCTACCACTGAGCCACCTTCCCAGCCCCTGTTATCAACTCTTAAGATACAATCTACATATAAAAAAGTTCAATAGTGGCTGGGAAGGTGGCTCAGCAGTAGAGTGTTTGCCTTGCATGCGTGAGGCCCTGGGTTCGATTCCTCAGCACCACATAAGCAGAAAAAGCTAGCAGGGGTGCTGTAGCTCAAGTGGTGGAGCACTAACCTTGAGCTGAAGAGCTGAGGGAAAGTGTCCAGGCCCAGAGTTCAGGCCTGTGACTGACCAAAAAAAGAGAAGGAAAGAAAATAAATAAAATAGAAAAGTTGAATACTTGGGATTGTTTTCTTTTTTTAATTTATTAGTTTTAAGAATAGTGAATTAAGCCGTGCGCCGGTGGCTCACGCCTGTAATTCTAGCTACAGGAGGCTGAGATCTGAGGATCACGGTTCAAAGCCAGCCCAGGCAAGGAAAGTCCGTAAGACACTTATCTCCAATAAAACCACTAGAAAACCGGAAGTGGCGCTGTGGCTCAAGTGGTAGAGCGTTTGCCTTGAGCTGAAGAGCGGAGGGATAGTGCCCAAGCCCAGAGTTCAAGCCCCACAACCGACCAAAAAAAAAAAAAGAATAGCAAATTAATTACTTTAAAGGACACCAGAATGAAAAATGTATTTATGCTAGGCACTGGTAGCTCATGCCTCTAAATCCTAGCTACTCAAGAGGCTGAGATCTGAGGATCACAGTTTGAAGCCAGTCCAGTCAGGAAAGTGTGAGACTCTTACCCTCCAATTAACTACCAAAGGCCAGCAGCGTAGCTATAAATAGCTCAAGTGGTAAATTGCTAGCCTTCAGCTCAAAAGCCCATGAGTTCAAGCTCCAGAATTTGCACACACACACACACACACACAGTATATTCATGATAAATTAAGATTTAAATGTACAGACATTTCCAGGAAACAGAACCAAAAAGGAGTTTTTCAAAGTGGTATTTTCCATTCAGATTTAGGACTCCAGAGTTTTTGCATAATTTCTTTGATTTCATATTTGAATGCTTTCCTCATTGGCTTAATTGTTACCTTTGTATCCTCATCCCTCTTCTTCCTCCTTCCTTTACCTCCTCCCCTTTCTCCTTTCTCTCCTTCTCTCCACCCCCTCCCCCTTTATTGCATGCAAGGGATCCTACCAAACCCAGGTCCTAGAGCATTACTAGGCAAGATTTTTATCACTGAGCTACATCTCCTGAAAATATTTAAAGTTTTATTTTGTCTTATCCTTTCTTTCTAATAAAGAAAGTTGTGTTTCTAAATCAAATGTTAAAAAAAAAAGATAACATTCAACTCAGTCTGGTTTCTATTCCCTCCATCCTATTCTTATCAGTAACCTTTTTAATGTTTATAAATTAATTTACTTTATTGTTATTATAGAAGTGATGCACAGAGGGATTACAATTACATGAGCTAGGTAATGACTACATTTCCTTTCATACAACGTCTTCTGTTCCCTCATTCTCTCCCAGTCCCTCCCTCCCATATCCACTCACAAGTTGTATAGTTCACTTTCATCAATGTCCAGTGAACTCCACTTTTTGACCCCTTTTGCCTCGAATTCTGTAACCTTCTCCTCACCCTCTTGAAGATACACATGTGAATACACCATACATAAGGTAAAGAAGACAAAATCATAAAAACTAAAAAACAAAGTCTCTTATTTCCACATCTTTGTTTCAGTATGTATTGTTTGATATTAATATGAAGAACACTTAGGCATTGCACCTTTGTGTTTCTCTCCTCAGAGAATCCTCTTTTGGTCGAACTGTGTAAACATCCTGAATAATTTGTTATATCCCTGTGCATTTGAGATCTGATTTCCACATATCAGAAAAAAACATGTGTCATTTATCTCTCTGAGCTTGCTTACCTCATTTAACATGATTTGTTCTAGGTCCATCTATTTCCCTATAAATGACATTATTTTATTCTTTCTAATGGCTGTGTAAAATGCTATTGTGTATAGATACCACATTTTTGGGATCCACTCATCTATTGTGGGGCATCTGGTCTGTTTCTTAATCTTGGCTATTGTGAATAGTGCAGCAGTGAACATGGATGTGCAGGTATCCTTATATCCTGGCTCAGGCAGTCAGTAATAAACATCATAGATATATATTCTTCTTCCTTAGGTAAATAGTTGTATCCTATTACACATGTGAGTATATTTTTGAACATTTGTGTACCTTTTTAAATTTAACAAAATAGTTTTAGATATTTCAAAGCAATGTGTAGAAAAATTTCTCTTTTCCTTTTATATCTGCTTTGTTCTCCATTGTACAGATATAGTATAGTTTATTTCATCTGTCCCCTATTAATGAACGGTTGGATTATTTCCAGTCTTAAGAGCATGCTCTATTAATTAGCTCTAAGTCCATTATTAAATTGAAATGTAATGTGTATCAAAGGGTAAATGTGTAATATACCGCTCTTGAGTAAGAGAAAAAATAAGATTAAGACCTGACTCAGGGAGAGATGGGATTTTATTTTTCCCATTGGTCTTCACATATACTGTGCTTTGCTGCTGTGCATAAGTCTGTATAAGAAACATCGCAGCTCTGACATTTGTCCAAATATGATGGTGGTATAAATAGACACTTTTGGATTAGGATTTTTTTTTTGCACTGGCTGGTTTTTTGGTTTGATTTTTGGTTTTTAGTGTTTCTTTTTGTTTTCTTGGCTGTTGTTTTTGTGTGTGTGTGTCTGTCAGTCCTGAGGCTTCAACTCAGGGCCTGGGCACTTTACGTAAGCTTTTGTGCTCAAGGCTAGTGTTCTGCCACTTGAGCCACAGCTTCACATGAAGCTTTTTGGTGGTTCATTGGAGTCTTAGATTTTTCTGCCTGGCCAGCTTCAAACTGCAATGTTCAGATCTCAGCCTCCTGAGTAGAACTAAAGACAGTGCCCAGCCTGTTGATATTATAAATATGTGTGTGTGTACATATATATATATATATATATATATATATACTTTGACTCAACAATTCCACTTATAAGAATTTATTCAAATCTGTATTTTCACATGAAGCATGAGTACAGTATTGTTTATGAAAGGGTAGAAAGGTCTTACAGACCCAAGAATACAGATCTTGTTAAAAAAAAAAAAGTTATATCCATAAACAGTTCTCATATATCTGCAAAATACCATGAGGATATTTTTCTAGTATACTGATATAAACTTTTCCCAAGAGGTTCTTAATTTAAGATGATAGAATACTGAATGTTGTGATACATGCCTATAATTCCACCTACTTGGGAGGCAGAGATTGGGAGACTTGAGGTTCAAGGCTGTGTTGAGCAAGACCTATCTCAAACAAGCCTAGTATGGGGTTGCTCACATGTAATCCCAGATGAATAGGAGTTTAGATAGAAGGATCACAGTCCAAATCTGGCCCTGGGCAAAAATCAGAAGATCCTATCTGAAAAATAAAGCATAAAAGGGTAGGTGACTGGACTCAGGTAGTAGAGTGCCCAGTGAGCGAAGAGGGAGGGCAAACTATGTGTGTTTTGGTTTGGGTTTGTTTGTTTTGTGCCAGCACTGAAGCTTGTACTCTCACTTGGCTTATTTTTACTTGTGACTGGTGCTCTACCACGTGAGCCCTATCTCCAGTCAGGCTTTTGGCTGGATAATAGGAGATGGAATCTGGAGAGCTTGCTTGCCTAAACTGGCTTTGCACCTTGATTCTCAGGTCAGCCCCCTAAGTAGGTAGGATCACAGGCATGAGCCATGGTGCCTGGTCATATTTGTGAATTTTATAATAGGATTTAGAGTTTTAGGTGTGATTACTTCTAAAGAGGAGCTATATGGTAAAAGAACAATTTTTGCCAAATGTATGTTTTGTACGGAACTTTTTATGACGTGAATATGTTGTTTATACAGATTTCAATAACGTTACTGTTCTCTGGTCTTTATTTCCTTCTTCTGTTTGCAGAACACTGTCTGCTTTAGCTCACTGGTCTTCTATCTTTAGTGACACACCATATCTTCCACTGTTGGCATTTCCATTTGTAAAATTATTCCAGAACAACCAACTCATCTGTTTTGAAGTTGTTGCTACTCTCATAAGTAAGTAGTCATTACAGAATGAAACCAAGAATAGATTCTCACACATTTTCCTGATGTCTTCATACCTTCGCAATATTTGACAATTCTTGACATCTTTACTTTTAAGTTAAAGTGTGAAATAATCAAGTGTAAAGTATAAAGTAGATGTTTCTGTCATATCTATCTAAGCCTTTATTTGCAAGATTTTTCTTTTTTTTCTTTTTTTTTTTTTTAATTTTATTTTATTTTAATTGAGAACATACTGTACAGAGGGGTTACAATTACATGGGCAGGAAAATGCATACATTTCTTACCAAGCATTGCAGCCTCCTCCTTTGTTTACCCTTCACCTCCCTTCCCAGCCTCCCCCCTCCCCCCCATATTTTTTTTTATTTTTTTGTCGGTTGTGGGGCCTGAACTCTGGGCCTGGGCACTGTCTCTCAGTTCTTCAGCTCAAAGCTGGCGCTCTACCACTTGAGCCACAGCACCACTTCCAGCTTTCTTCTTTTTGCTAATGTGGTGCTGAGGAATTAAACCCAGGCCTCATGCATGCAAGGCAAGCACTCTACCTCTGAGCCACCTTCCTAGCCCCAAGAGCTATAAATTTTAGAAGATCATTATAGACAGATTTGAATATAGACAGATTTGAAGCAAATCTCTTACCTACTGAAAGTAGATTATGTTCAAAGAACTGTTTCTAAGTATATAAAACACTTTGTATACCATGGTGTTTTATTTATATTTGTTTTATTTAAATGCTCAACAACAAATTAAATAATGGAATTGGAAAGCCTTTATAACTCATATGTAATACAATGTTGTCTTCTCTCGCTAATTTGAGATATGAGCTCTTTTTGTGTGGTCAGTGCTGAGATTGCCAGCCTTGCCACTGCCTGGCTAGGCCAGGAGATCTTAATATCAAAGAATGCAATCACAGTTTACTACATTGGGTATTTCCAATCCAAAATCCAGAATCAGAAGCTTCTTCAACCCCTTTAGATTTTTGCATTTTAGACTTCAGGATTAAGGTTGCTTACCTGGTAAAATCTATTCAGATATTCCAAAATCAAAAAAAAACTTTGAAGTCCAAAAATATAGTCAGCAGAAAACAAATACTTCAGACTTCAAATAGATGTGCTTGTTCATTGGATCATTTTGACCCAATTTTCCTGACAATACTGAAGAAACCTGCAAAATTTCTACCCGCCTAAGATGTTCTGTTAACATGATGGAATTTGTAAATCTCTTGCTTAAGAATTTAGAAGTCTTTTTCTTATTTATTCAGTCATATTTAGAACAAAAAAAGAGGAGTGAATTCCTTTAAGAATTACAAAAAAAAAAAAAAGAGCACTGTTCATAACCTGCCAGCCTGGCTAGCTGTGGTTGGTGGGTTCCATTCCAGTGCTACAGCATTTCCAGTGACACATGACTGGCTGACTGGCTTTCAGTTTCAGGTCTTGGGGACATGTTATTAAAAACAAACTAGGAGGGGTTAACAATGCTCAATAGGAAATGTACTCATTACCTTACTCATGTAACTGTAACTCCTTTATATAGTATCTTTACGATTAAAAAAAATGTTAAAAACTAGCCAGCTGCCAGTGGCTCATGCCTATAAGCCTTGTTACTCAGGGGGCTGAGATGCTAGAATCATGGTTCGAAGCCAGTCTGAGCAGGAATGTTTGTGAAACTCTTATCTCCAATAAATATTCAGAAAAGGCCAGAAGTGGCAGTGTGGCTCAAGCGGTAGAACACTAGCCTTGAGCACAAAGAGCTCAGAGATAGCATGAAGGCCCAGAGTTCAAGCCCTAGGAACAGTAAAAACAAACAAACAAACAAAAACCTGGGTGTGCTGTAAGCAGTCCCAGCACTATGGAGGCTACTTCAAGGGGATCAAAAGTTCAAGGCTAGCTGGGTGTCAGTGGCTTAGGTCTGAAATTCTAGCTCAGGGACAGGGCCTAGGCTTGAGTTCAAGCCCAAGGACCAGCACAAAAACAATAATTTCAAGACCAGCCTTGACTACATAATGTAATCAGGACACTATTAAAAAATAAAAGAAGAAGCCAGGAGCTGGTGGGTCACACCTGTAATCCTAGCTACTCAGGAGGCTAAGATCTGGGATCATGGTTCAAAGCCAGCCCAGGCAGGAAAGGCCATGAGGTTCTTATCTCCAATAAACCACTAGAAAACCGCAAGTGGTGCTGTGGCTCACGTGGTAGAGCGCTGGCCTTGAGCTGAAGAGCTGAGGGAGCCCCACAACTGACAAAAATAAAATAAAAGAAGAAAAAATCCATGAGGGTATTCAGTATGTATTATGGAAAATGAGCTATGCAACTTGTGGGCAGGGATGGGAAGGGGAGATTGGGGGAAAGCAAATGAAGGGGTGACATTGTCTAAAAGAAATGTGCACATTGCCTGAAATTTGCATTGGTAGCCCCTGTATAACACCTTAATAATAACAATAAAATTATATTCTTAAAAATCAGAGGTCAGGCACTGATGGCCCATGCCTATAATCCTAGCTACTCAGGAGGCTGAGATCTTGAAGATCATGGTTCAAAGCCAGACCAGGCAGGGAAGTCCCTGTGAGACTCTTATCTCCAATTAACCACTAGAAAACTGGAAGTAGAACTGTGGCTCAAAGTGGTAGAGTACTCAGGGACAGCACCCAGCCCTGGGTTCAAGCCCCATGACTAACCCCCTCCCCAAAAAAAATTGTTCTTTGATATAGAAAGATACTTAAATTTCCTTTAATTTTTTTTCTTTGTAGTAAATTGGTGTCAACACTGGTTTGAATACTTTCCTAACCCTCCCATCAATATTCTTAGTATGATAGAAAATGTTTTGGCATTTTGTGATAAACAACTGCTCCAGCACTTCATAGATCATGATATAACTTCCCAGGTAAGAAGTATAGGGCTTTTAGAAAGATTTAATTTATTTGGGGACCTAACATTGATTCTGGTATAAATAAAATAGTACTTCTATGGAGTAATAAAAATATACTATGCTTTGTATTTTTAACACGATTTCATTTTTTTTCTTAATATATTTTTATTGTAAAGATATTGTACAGAGTAGTTACAGTTACATGAGCAAGGTAATGAGTCCATTTCCTATGGAGCAGTGTTCCACCCTCCTTTATTTTCCCCTACCATCCCTTTCCTCCCCAACTCCTCCCTTTTTTCCCCCACCCCATTCTTTTTTATTATACCAACTTCCTCAAAGTCTATAAAGAAGTGGAGATGTGGCCCAATTGGTAGAGTGCCAGCCTTGAAGGAAAAAGCTAAAGGACAGCTCCCAGTCCCTGAGTTCAAGCCCCAGTGCTGGCAAAAAAAAAAAAAAAAAAGTCTATAAAGAGAATGTCTGTCTTCCTAATAGTATAAAATGATGTAGCTCAGTGATGGCCACTTGCCAGTACTGAGAGGAAAGTGGGAGTGGTATGAAAGTTCCAAATTAAGACAGTAATTCTTTTTGTTGTTATTGTTTTGTGCTGATCCCAGGGCTTGAACTCAAGGCCTGGTTGCTGCTTAAACTCTTTTGTTCAAGGGTAGTGTTCTACCACTTGAGCCACAGCAACACTTCTGGCTTTTTCTGAGTTGTTGTTTGCTGGCTTTGAACCACAATTTTCATATTCCAGCCTCCTGAGTAGCTAGGACTACAGTCATGAGCCACCAACACCCACCAGATACTGTTTTATAACAATGTGCTTAATATGCCTTCACACATGAAATGTAAGAGAATATTGTCAGTGACTGTGTTTTGACTAATTTATTGTTCTTCACTTTAGCTGTACGCTTGGCCTCTTCTTGAAACGGTGTTCTCAGAAGTGCTGACCAGAGAGGAGTGGCTCAAATTATTTGATAACATCTTCTCCAACCAACCTTCCTTCCTTCTGATGACTGTGGTAGCCTACAGCACATGTTCTAGAGCTCCTTTGCTCAACTGCACTCTTAAAGATGATTTTACGGTAAATACCCTGTTGTTAAGAGGGCTGGGATATATAGCTGAGTGGTAGAATACCTTGGGTTCAATTCCCAGCATTACTAATAAATAAGTAAGTAAATGAGAGGCTCAAATTTCACTCTTTTCTATTAAAAATTGTATTGCTTGACTTCACACCTACTATACATCAAGCATGGATGCTCTGTGGTAGAACTAGAATAGATCATCACATTTCTGACCTTTATGTAAATATATAAACAAAATTTCAGCAGATTGTTCATCTTAGAATCATAGTGTAGCACTGGGGGTATGCCTTGAGGCCTATAAAAAGGATGTTGGACACTTCTGGTAGTTTATCCAGTGTAGGTTCTTAGTAGTAACCCTCCCGGTCTACCCCAGTCTGGATGCTTAGCTTATATACAAGAAAACTTTGAGGTTTGGTAGGAAAATGACAGAGAGGGCTGGGAAGGTGGCTCAGTGGTAGAGTGCATGCCTTGCATGCATAAGGCCCTGGGTTCCATTCCTCAGCACCACATAAGCAGAAAAGGCCAGAAGTGGCGCTGTAGCTCAAGTAGTAGAGCACTTGCCTTCAGCTGAAGAACTAAAGGACAGCGCCCAGGCCCAGAGTTCAGGCCCCACAACTGACCAAAAAAAAAAGAAAGAAAGAAAATGACTGAGAGAAAGCAAAAGCATCAGAGGTAGCTTCATAAGAGCTTGGTAAGAGGCTCAAATAGTTGGGGTTTTCCTGTATATATGTGACTTTTTTGATTACTGTTGATTCATTATGTTTGCTTTCTGGTCACATAACGTACAATGCATGTTTTAGAGTTTGGTTCTGCCAGCACAGATTATATGGACCATTTCAGATACTATTAAGCAGCCAAACTAACTTATTTGCAAAGATTCATTCACTTTCTAAGTTGATTTAGATTTTGTGTTTTAAAAAACTTGAACAGAAAAAGATTGTTTTTTGCTGAAGCATCTTTTAAATTTTACAATGGAGCTTTCATTTTGGGTTAAAATATTTAAGTTTGATTTCAAAATTTCATATTATAGTGACATTTTACTACTTTTTGTGGCATAGTACTTGGGTTTGAACTTAGGACCTCATGTTCGCTACTACTTGAGCCCCATCCCAGCCCTCTTCTGCTTTCTTATTTTTTGAATAAGGTCTTACATTTTTGCCTAGCCACTCTAGACCACAATCCTCTTGTTATACTTCTCTTGTAGCTGGGATCACAGGCATGGTACCACCACACAGCTTATTGGTTGAAATGTTTGCCTAACTAGCCTTGAACTATGATTCTCCCTATCTTTACCTCCTGAGTAGCAGGAATTATAGGCATAAGCTATCATGCCTAGCTAACATTTTAACAATATCAACTTGAATCTTTAAAAAATAAGTTTAGGGGGCTAGGAAGGTGGCTCAGTGGTAGAGCACTTGCCTTGTATGCATGAGGCCCCGGGTTTGATTCCTCAGCACCACATAAGCAGGAAAAAAAAGCCAGAAGTGGTGCTATGGCTCAAGTGGTAGTGCGCTAGCCTTGAGCTGAAGAGCTGAGGAACAGCGCCCAGGCTCAGAGCTCAAGCCCCATGACTAGACCCAAAAAATAAATAAATAAATAAGTTCAGGCCTGGAAAGGTGGCTCAGTGGTAGAGTGCTTGCCTTGCATGCATGAGGCCCTGGGTTCGATTCCTCAATACGACATAAGCAGAAAAGGCCAGAAGTGATGTTGTGGCTCAAGTGGTACTATGGCTCAAGTGGTAAAGCACCAGCCTTGAGCTGAAGAGCTAAGGGACAGCACCCAGGCCCAGAGTTCAGGCCCTACAACCAACCAAAAAAAAAAAAAAAAGTTTTAAAAAAAGCTTCAGTAAACTTGCAGAAAATAACATGTTGAATTAAAATTCTAGATAATTTTCAAAAAAGAAAAGAAGATTATTCATATTTTATTTTATTTTATTTTGGTCCTGCATCTTGAACTTGGGGCTCAGGCACTATGCTTAAGCTCTTCTGGTTTTCTGGTAGCTACTGGTGCTAAGAGTTGCAAGGACTTTCCTGCCCCAGATGACTTCAAGCTGCAGTCCTCAGGTCTCATTCTCCTGAATAGCTAGGCGGGAGCCACAGGTGCCAGCCACATTTAAACTTTTGAACTCTTATTTTAGTTAATTCTACGTTAGCATTGCATTAAGTAAATCTCAAGTTTTCTTGCAGTATTTTTTTCATCATCGGAATAACTTGGATATAAATGTTGTGATTAGAGAAGCTTATCACCTCATGGAGACCACACCTGCTGATATTCATCCAGACAGCATGCTGGATGCTTTTGTTGCACTGACAAAAGGGCAGTATCCAGTATTTAATCAATATCCAAAGTTTGTCGTGGATTTCCAGACACGGGAACGAGAAAGAATAAGGAATGATGAGTTGGATTACTTGAGAGAAAGGTAATTATGAAGTACTTATTGTTTAATAGAAGTGGAATCTGTTGTAAATCTAAACAAGAACTTTAAGGAAAATTGTATTTAAGCAGGACACTAGTGGCTCATATCTATAATCCTAGCTACCTAGGAGACTGAGATCTACAGATTATGGTTTGAAGTCAACCTGGGCAGGAAAGTCCATAAGACTCTTATCCCCAATAAACTATTCAGAAAAAGCTATGTGTGGCACTGCGGCTCAAGTGGTAGAGTACTTGCCTTGAGCACAAAGAGGCTCAGTGACAGTGCCCAGGCCCTGAGTTCAAGTCCCAGGACTGGCCAAAAAAAAAAAAAGCATTTAAATTATTAAGTATTAGTGTAGAACCAAAGTTTTAAGATATGAGATGTATTTATTTATTCTCATAGCTGTAAATAAAGTCAGGTCTTATACACTAATCAAATGTATATTTTGTGTCATGGTTTACCTAAATTTGCTTTTGTGTTCATATTTTCATAATAACAAATATTGTATACTTAAGGCAGACAGTTGAAAATATGCAAGCTGAAGTAGATCAGCAAAGACTTGAAGATGAAGCTTGGTACCAAAAACAAGAAGAGCTCCGTAAAGCAGAAGAAGCAAGAAGAGAAATGCTCTTGCATGAAGAGGAGAAGATGGTACAGCAAAGACAGAGGCATGTGTTACTATTTTGAAAATGTCCATGCATGAGTTAGTGAAATAACTTTCATTTTATTTCATTTTCTCCTTTAGAAATAGACTATGTGGAATTATCTAGGTTCATTTCCACTAAGCAAATATTTAAGTTAATAAAAAAGAATAAAGGGCTGGGAAGTTGGCTCAGTGGTAGAGTGCTTGCCTTGCATGCATGAGGCCCTGGGTTCGATTCCTCAGCACCACATAAGCAAAAAGAAAAAAGCTGGAAGTGGCACTGTGGCTCAAGTGGTAGAGCGCCAGCCTTAAGCTGAAGAGCTGAGGGACAGCGCCCAGGCCCAGAGTTCAGACCCCACGACTGGACCCCCAAAAAAATAAATAAAATAAAATAAAGAATAAAAAAATATGAGGTAGAATTAATTCTAAAGCTATACTGAATATTGCACTTAGTTTTTTTTTTGTTGTTTTTTTGTCAGTCGGGCTTGAACTCTGGGTGGGCCTGGACGCTGTTCCTTAGCTCTTCAGCTCAAGGCAAGTGCTCTACCACTTGAGCCACAGCACCACTTCCAGTTTTCTGGTGGTTAATTGGAAATAAGATCTCATGGACCTTGCTGCCCAGGCTGGCTTTGAACCTCGATCCTCAGATCTCAGCCTCTGAGTAGCTAGGATTACAGGCGTGAGCCACCAGCGCCCAGCTTTCACTTAGCTTTTTTTTTTTTTGCACTTAGCTTTTAAAGTAAAAGATCTAGATGTAGCTGGGAAGGTGGCTCAGTGGTAGAGCGCTTGCCTTGCATGCATGAGGCCCCCTGGGTTCGATTCCTCAGCACCACATAAGCAAAAAGAAAAAAAAGCCGGAAGTGGTGCTGTGGCTCAAGTGGTAGAGCGCTAGCCTTGAGCTAAAGAGCTGAGGGACAGTGCCCAGGCCCAGAGTTCAGGCCCCACGACTGGACCAAAAAAAAAAAAGATCTAGATGTATGCTCTAAAGGGCATTACTTAGAAACATTATTTTATAGTAGGCAGAGAAAGTTAAACCAACATTGGAAAATGCTTTGTTTTTAATATGTTTTGAATTTAAGACTAGCTGCTGTGAAAAGAGAGCTGAAAATGAAGGAAATACACTTACAAGATGCTGCTAGAAGGCATTTCCTGAAGCTTCAGCAAGCTCAGCATGAAATGGAGCTACGAAGACTGGATGATGAAATTGAGAGGAAGGTTAGTTATTCTAACTAGAACTCATACGTCTCTGCCTACTCTCACTTAGCTGTAACGCTCACCCTCATATGAAATAGTAATCCTGTCGTCCACAATGAGTACTTCATAGCCCTTTTAATTTTACTTACTTCAACCCTCCACTTTTTTATTATCTTTTATATCTCATTAATGGTAAAATATTTAATACTAAGAAGATTAGGCCAGTTGATTAGTGTCCTTGATAACTACAAAAAAAAGTATCAGATAACTATTAAAATAATTGTGAAAAAAAATTATAAAAATTTGTACATGACCAATTGAAAAGAATTTCAAGTACAAGATATATAGGGTTAAATGTGGATTCTTGTTACACTTCCTCATCGTATTTCCAGAGGTAACCTTAAAAAGATAATTATCCGGCACCAGTGGCTTACTCCTAGTGAGCCAGCTACATGGGAGGCTGAAATTGGTAAGATCATAGTTCAAAGCCAGTCCTGGCAGAAAAGTTCCTGAGACCTCTCTCTTCTCAAGAGAGAAGTAAGCCAGGCACCCATGGCTCACGCCTGTAATCCTAGTTACTCAGGAGCCTTTGATCTGAGGATCATGGTTCAAAGCCAGCCCCAGCAGCAAAGTCCATGAGACTCTTATCTTCAATAAAACACTCAGAAAACTGGAAGTGGTACTGTGGCTCAAGTGGTAGAGCACTAGCCTTGAGCTGAAGAGCTTAGGGACAGCGCCCAGGCCCAGAGTTCAAGCCCCACAACTGACAAAAAAAAAGAAGGGAGAGGAAAGAAGTGGGCGCAGTGGCTTATGCCTGTACTCTAACTAAGATGGGAAGTCTGACACAGGTAGTTCATGCCTATACACACACCTAGGAAAGAAGAAACATCTCAAAAATAACCAGCTCAAATAGCTCAAGAAGTATGTGGCTTGGCAGTGTTGCCCAGCAACCTCAAGATTGAGTTCAAGCCTAATATACAAAAAAAAAAAAAAGGTTAATTGCACAATTATTCTCTATTTGTTTACTTATATTTCTGTATTTATATAAAATGGTATTTTTCTCCCTGTATCTTGTTTTTGTGTCATGCTTTGAAAAATGATATAGCTGAATATCCTTTCAGATAACGTATTTCTTTCTTTTCATTCTTTTTTCTTTTTTATTTTGTCGGTTGTACGGCTTGAACTCTGGGCTTGGGCACTGTCCCTGCACTCTTCAGCTCAATGCTAACGCTCTACCACTTGAGCCACAGTGCCACTTGTGGTTTTCTAGTGGTTTATTGGAGACAATAGTCTCACAGACTTTCCTGCCCAGGCTGGCTTTGAACCACGATCCTCAGATCATTAGCTAGGATTACAGGCATGAGCCACCAGAGCCTGGCAATTATTTCATTGAGTATATTTTACTGATGATTATATACCAAAGTTTACTTAATTCTTGGCTATTGGACATTCAAGTTATAAAAATAGTTTACATTTATTAATTTTAATTTGTTATAATGTAATTACTTAAAATTGTCTAGTGAATCATATTCATATCTCACTATTAAAAAGTATATTTCTGAGGCTGGGAAGGTAGCTCAGTGGTACAATGCTTGCCTTGCATGCATAAGGCCCTGAGTTCAATTCCTCAGCACCACATAAGCAGAAAAAGCCAAAACTGGCGTTGTGGCTCAAGTGGTAGAACATTAGCCTTGAGCTGAAGAGCTGAGGGACAGTGCCCAGGTCCAAAGTTCAGACCCCACGACCAACCGAAAAAAAAAAAGGTATATTTCTTCACCAAAAATAATGCACATTCAGAATTCTGACAACTTCATTTCAAACCCTTTGAGATAGGGCAAGGTGTTTCTTGGCCAAGAGTCCTGCAACGCTTTCAACATCATGATAAGGCCTCTACCTGCCCTCCCGGCCTCCCCATGACCTCGTAGGCTCCATCCAGCTACCTTTTCCTATGTGCGCTTACCCTGCCTGACTCCAGAAGCTCGGCTCTGGCTCCTGCAGGAAAAGCTGAGTGCAAAATTACACACACACACACACACACACACACACACACACACAGGCACGCACGCATGCACGCACCTATGAAAAAACTTCTGCGAGCAGCAAGCACAGTAGATTTGTTTTGGCTCTAGTACATAGCTGTTAGTGTGTCTCAGAATTCATAAGCAGAAGAGCTGTAGCTGAAATTCCTAAAAATTGTTTGATGATTTTCCAAATCACCTGGAGGTGTCCTCTGCCTTCTGGTGCTATCACTGCTGCTTTGGAGACTCAAGGTTGAGCTAGCTGCTTTTGTAGTAATTTACCCTTAAGGTAAATTTTACCCCTTGGATGTGTTTCTTTGGGTCACACTGTTTTATTTTTGCTACTTCTCCTATTAGGAGCATTTGGTAGCCTGTCTTTTAGCCAATAATATCTAACACGTGGTAGTATCAAAGGTAGTAATGTAATCATTAAATGTTTGCCAAATGAATGATGATAGGTGATTGAGGGTTGTTGTTGTTTTGTTTTGTGTACTTTATTCTAATCCAAATTCATAACTGGCTCTTTAGGCAACCAAATATTTAAGATGACTTTTAAGATTGTCTATACCATGCCTTATCCAAACCCTCTGTGATACAGGAAAGAAATGCTTTCAAGTATTCAAAATTTAGACAACTCTGAACTAACTGAATTTGAGCAAAGCACATATAGGTTGAACAGTCCAAGATAAAATTTCAGCTTGGAGTTACTAGGTATCAGATCAAATCTATTTTTTTTTAACCTCAAATAAAAGTTATAGTTAATAAGATGGAACAATCTGCCGGCTCACACCTGTAACCCCAGCTACTCAGCAGGCTGAGAGTTGAAGTTCACAACTTGAAGCCAGTTCACGCAGGAAAGCCGGTGAGACTCTCATCTCCAGTCAGCCACCAGAAAATTGAAAGTGGCACTGTGGCTCAAAGTGGTAGAGCAGTAGCCTTGAACAAAAAAAGCTCAGGGATAGCACATAGGCCCTGAGTTCAGGCCACACAACTGACAATAGAATAAAATAAGTAATTAATTAAACGTTCTATATTTTTAACCAATCCCAAATTTTAGTTGTTGAAGTTTTTCTACTTCGTTATTGGCTACTGTAATCTGAAGAGCCACCCCTTTTCTTGTAGTTGTTATAGTGCATGGTAATTGCGCTTTTTTAAATTAAGCTTATCCCAGATCATTTCTGAATTGGTCAGTGAATACTAATTCCTGCTGGGTGCTGGTGGTTCATGCCTGTAATCCTAGCTCCTCAGGAGGCTGAGAGCTGAGGACTGTGGTTCAAAGCCAGCCTGGGCAGGAAAGACCGTGAAACTCTGATCTCCAATTAACCACCTAAAACCTGGAGATAGAGTGTGGCTTAAAGTGGTAGAGCACTAGCCTTAAGCCAAAATGTTCAGGAACCGCACCCAGACTCTGAGTTCAAGCCCCAACACCACCAAGAAAACCTCATAATTTCTGGTTCTTTTTTTTAATGTCCATATAACCACATAACTAAGCCAGTCCTGATGTCACATGCCTGTAACCCTGGCATGTGGGAGAGGGAGGGAGGAGCAGTAGGAACCTATCTTTAAAAAAAAAATTTTTTTTGTAAATTATTTTTAGTATTCACAGTTTGATGTTTGCCTATAGGTACAAATGAGGGATCGAGAAATCGCCACCACAGCCAGAGACCTAGAAATGAGACAGCTGGAGCTTGAATCACAAAAAAGACTTTATGAGAAGGTATAAATTATTTCCAATGTAGGAAAGCACAATTTGTACAAACTCTTTTCTAGACTATATTTGTGGTTTATAGTATTAATTTCATTCCATTTTTAAGCATAATATATTGTCGTCCAAGATTGTACAGTAGCCAAAATGTCTGGATATACAGCTTATTATAATTCTTTTTATTGTTACTGTAATTCATGTTTCTGTAGCAGCTTAGTCTAGTGTCTAAAGCACCAGATGTAAATCCCAGACTTTGCCTCAGGATTTTTTTTTTCTTGCCGGTTTACAAGTTTCTCTATAAGTATACAATAGTGAATGAAATTATCCTAATAAAAATGGGTTGTCCTTAATTTGAAAAACAAAAGTAACTTATAGTTTTAACGCTAAACAAATGGATAACTAAATATTTTCCCTAAAATAAAAATCTGAAGTGCTCTGTCTAAAATTCTTTGGGTGCCAACTTGATGGCCAAAACATTTCAAACTTCACAGCATTTCAGACTTTGGAGAAGGATGCTTAACCAGAAAACTCTATGCAAGTATTCCAAAATCCAAGAGTTCATCTGAAACATTCCTAATCCCAAGCATTTCAGATAAGGAATAGTCAACTTGAAACTTTCAGGAATCTTAGGAGGAAAATGAGACAAGAACTATGAATCTTCTAGAATTAGATCAGCAGCAAATACCTGCTTAGGACATGAAAGTCAGTTTTTAAGTCACTGGAAAAAGGTATAAATACAAGATTTTTTTTTTTTTTTGGGTCCAGTCGTGGGGCCTAAACTCTGGGCCTGGGCACTGTCCCTTAGCTCTTCAGCTCAAGGCTATTGTTCTACCACTTGAGCCACAGCACCACTTCTGGCTTTTTTTTCTTTTTGCTTATGTGGTGCTGAGGAATCAAACCCAGGGCCTCATGCATGCAAGGCAAGCGCTCTACCACTTAGCCACCTTCCCAGCCCCAAAATACAAGATTTTTTATTTGGGGAAAATATTAGTTATTCATTTGCTTAATGTTAAAACCATAAGTTACTTTTTTTCAGCTTTCTTAGTGTCAAACGTTGATTTTGAAATTAGACTTATCCGCAAATTCATACCAGGTCACACGCTTATTGTTTGTTGTCTATTTTACGTAATATTTAAAACATAGCATCTAGTAATACCTGTAACATTTTTTACATTTCCACACTGAATTTCTTGTAAAAGTGAGCAGAGAATTTGCAGTTTGCCCAGTAAGTCTTCTGTGCTTTTGAATTACACATAATTCACTTGGACTAAGCTAAAGCCTACATTTCTCTGTCTGTCTGTAGTGCTGAGGATCCGACCCAGCCTTGTGTGTTGGTAGGGAAGCGCCCTACCTGAGCTACATGTTGGTAGGGAAGCACCCTACCTGAGCTGCATGTCTAGCCCGGGGAGCTTAATTTTTGCTGTTTTTTCTTTTTCTCCGAGGATGAGGGTGGTGATGAGGGGAATGGCTTAAAAATTCATAGAAGCTTTGCAAGGAAAGAACTAAAACTTCCAGATGTTTCTCTCAAAATTAACATTCTGCTAAACGTACTTTTCTTCTCTGTGTGTAAGACATACACACAACACACTTTTGTACCATTTAAGAGTTGTAAGGAGTTGTGGGGGAGGGAAAGTGGGAGAAAAATGAGAGGGGGTAACAAGTTTGACAAGAAATATACTCACCACCTTATGTAACTGCAGCCCTTCTGTACATCTCCTTGATAATAAAATTAAATTTAAAAAAAAGTTAGTTGTAGACATAATGCTTCTCTGCCCCTAAATACTTCAGTATAGAAGGAATGATTTAATGTAAGTGCATCATAGTTCTCCAAATCAGTATTATCTGGTGTACAATCCTTATTCAGATTAGATCAGTGGTCCCTTTCTAAAAGCCTCTCTAAAGAAAGTCTAAGATTTTTTTTTCAAGTGTCCTATATTTATTCTTTGCAATTAAAAGTGTTCCTAAATCTTTATCTGTATTTCATGACATTTATTTTATCTTATTTTAGAGCTGGAGTTTGAACTCAGGGCTTCTAATTGAATGTTGTCACTGATATTTGGGAAGCCAGATAGAATGGCCCCTAGTTGTTACTTACCTGTTGTCTTTTCGTGGTAAGATTCTTGGCAGGAATGCCATGGAAGTGGTGCTGAGCTTCTGTCTGAGCATCAGATTGGAACAAATGTTTATTACATTCTATACTGCCTTCTGACAGAGGTGTTTCTTTAAGCAGGCGTACTGAGCTAGAAGAGTTAACTGCTTAATTCTGCTTAATTAGAAACAAATACGCGTTTATCATCCTTTTGAAATTGACACTTTATCTGCCAGGCTTACATCTTACATTAAGTTGATTTTCTATTTCTTAAGAAAATTTGCCCTAGAATACAGATAATATTATTATTGCCTCTTGGAAATATGAGCCAAATATTCAGTATATATCTAATTTGAGCTTATTTTTCTATCTTTACACTTTTGTATAATTCAAAATATTTTTCTTTTTAGTTTATTTTAAAGTGAATTTAGCTGCCTATAGATAATCAAATAAATAGAAAAAAGTCAAGAAAACAGATTCTAGTTGGGCACTAGTAGCTCATGCCTGTAACCCTAGCTACTCAGAAGGCTGAGATCTGAGGATTGAGGTTCAAAGCCAGCCCAGGCAGGAAAATCCACAAGACTTTTTATCTCCAATTAACCACTAGAAAACTGGAAGTGGTGCTGTGGCTCAAGTGGTGGCACCCACTTCTGAATTCAACCCCCATGACTGACCAAAAAAAAGGAAGGAAGGAAGGAAGGAAGAAAAAAAAAGAGATTCTAACGTCATTAATGATGATAAGGGAGATTATTTGACACATACAATTTGTATTTTCCTTTTATAGCACATATTCATGAAGGCAGTATTGCTATCCTTTGTCCCTCAACCATTATAGTCATTTGCTTTCACTCCATTCCCTCCCCCTCTCTCCACCCCCCAACCACGAACTTGCTTTCTGTCTCTACAAATTTGCCCATCCAGAAATTTCATATAAGTAGAATTTTATAGTGTGTGGTCTTCCATGGTTAGCTTCTTTCACTTAATGTTTTCAAAGTTATCTATATTATAGCACAAATCAGTACCTCCTTCTTTCTTTATGGCTGCATAATAGTTCAATGCATGAGAAGAACACACTTGCATTATCCATTTGTCAGTAGTAGGAATTTGGGTTGTCTCCACAGTTCTGTTGATGAGCGTTCATGTGCACCTTATATGGTCAGGTTTTTGGTTTTCAGTTTTATGAATGCAAACCTAGGAGAGAGAGAGTTCAGATTTCTCATAAACAATTATTGTTTTCCATACAAGAAGTAGTATCTTATTGTGGTTTTGGTTTCATTTCTTAAATGGTTAATGATGTTAAGTATCTTTTCATGTTTATTGATTCTTTTTACATTTTCTTTGGAGTTTATTATCTGTTTACATTATGTATCAGTCATACTTTCTTGGTGTTTTTAGTCATGCCATTTTTTTTTTGTTAAAAACCTTTTATGTTAATATAATGTGCAGTTATAGAAATCAAGTTACCCCTCACCACTCCTGAAATTTCTTGCTATTTGCTTAATGACTTTTCAAAACCAGATCTATAAAGTCCTTGCTCTTTGTAGTGTGTAGCCATTGAAGTCTCTGTTTAGTTAGCTTGTGGTCAGCTAGCAACTGGACAGAGATTTTCTTATTAGTCCTGCTGAGGGCTCTGTGTGCATGTTGTGCATGTGCATGTCTTTGATGCTTAGGAAGACAGTACAATTCTCACTTAGATTTCACTTCCTGGTTATGCAAAACCTCAACAATTACCAGAAGTGAGAGCTCTCAGTACCTTCTCAAGTCTTGAGCACACACAGCCCTTGCCATGGGCACAGCCTTACCCATGCACCTGTGTTCTCCTGGAGTCCCAGAAATACGTGGGAGTTCTCAGGGCCTCCTGTGAACATCTAAATCCCCAGCTTTCCCTTAAACTGTTTGATTATCCATAATCCACTACCTCAGCCAAACAAGATGTGCTGAGTGTCCTCCAGTTCCTCTACACACGTTCCCAGAGAGCAGGCTGGCTTTCACACTGGGTGAGTTCCGAGAGGGCCCATGGAGACAGCCTGGGTCTGGGGTCTTGGCAGAGAACCGCCCTAGGCAGCCTTTGCTTAGTTTTGGCAGTACTGGAGGTTGACCTCACTGTCCTCAACTCCATAGGAGCCATGCCCCTCACCCTCTCAGGGAGGCCTGCCAGCTTTGTCTTTCCCTCACCGTCGGCTGCTAGGATGCTGGTGGTCAAAGCCAATACAGAGCTCAGAATGGGTGAGTGGGAATTTTGTGGCATGGAGCCTGTTCTCTGTGGTTCCATCACCTCAATGGATGAAGAAGGCTCTCCAGACTGCTACAAACTTTGATTCAATTTCAAAATTCTGAAGAAGTTGAACCTGAAAATTTTTGCCAATATTCAGCATTTTTATGGAGGAGAGAATCTTCAGAAGTCTTTACTTTGTCATTTTCACTGATGATAGTACCAGTATTTGTTTTCTGCTTTGAAAATTAAATGGTACAGCTTGGGTTTGGGTTCTGTTTCGTTTTCTTTTGTTTTTTAGTAGGAGTTGAACTCAGGGCCTCTAGCTTTTGCTTGGCTTTTTCAGCCACAGCTGGTACTCTACCACTTGAGCCACACCTCTGTTTCTAGCTTTTTGCTACTTAATTGAAGGTAAGAATCTTTCTGATTTGTCTGCCGGGTTTCTCCAAACCTCAATGCTTAGATCTCAGCCTCCTTTATAGCTGGGTTTATAAGCTTGAGACTCTTGCATCTGGCATTTTAGTCTTTAGTTGTATTCATATTAGTAGCCTGAAAAGAGGAAAGTCACTTTATATTTTATTACTATTACATAGATTGGCTTGTTTTTTTAACAGAATTATACCAGAAATCAAGAGGTTTTTGCAAAAGAATTTCGAGAAGATGCAGATGCCTACAGACAAAAAGTGGATTTTGAAGAGGACATGTTTCATAAGATGATAGAAACTGACCAAACTCAAACTGGAAATGCTAAGAAGGTAAAAAAACAAAAAAACAAGATTAAATTTACTGAATTTATAAAATATCATTTTTTTTTTTGCTTATGTGGTGCTGAGGAATCGAACCCAGGGCCTCAGGCATGCAAGGCAAGCGCTCTACCACTGAGCCACCTTCCCAGCCCTAAAATATCATTTTTTTTTAAAGAGAATAACAATAAAAGTAGGCTGGGGGTGTGTGGCTCAAGTACAAGATTCTGCATTCAACCATCCCACTACCCAAAAAAGTGATAAAATAAAAGTTTATGGCCAAGCGCTGGTGACTCGTGCCTATAATCCTAGCTACTCAGGAGGCTGAGATCTGAGGATCATGGTTCAAAGCCATACTGGGCAGGAAAGTCTATGAGACTCTTAAACCACCAGAAAACCATAATTTAAAAAAATAATAAAAGTTTATGAAATTGAGACCATTTATTCCTTTGCTTTATTTGTCAAAGTTCTTAGAACTTTACATTGCTTTATTTATTTGTAAGATACTTTATTGATAGTTAAATAATGTTCCCTTTTTTATTTATTTTTTTTTGCCTGTCATGGACGCTGCCCCTCAGTTCTTCAGCTCAAGGTTAGCGCTCTACCCCTTGAGCCACAGCGCCACTTTCAATTTATTTTTTTGCTTATGCGGTACTGAGGAATTGAACCCAGAGCCTCATGCATGCAAGGCAAGCACTCTACCACTGAGCCACCTTCCTAGCCCCATAATGTGTCCTTTATATAAGGGAAATAGAAACTTGAATACTGTCCTACTGTGTTCTGACTTTAAAATTGTCTCTGCATGAATCAGTTGCAGAATTATCTGTGAAACAATAATAACTGTTACCCAGTAAAAGTAGGGACAGTCAAGTAAGTATTGGAAATGGTGTCTTAAAGTTGGGGGAGGAGGCCTGAGAGGACAGAGGGTTGGGGATGACCTGCCACTGGTGGTTCATGCCTATAATACCAGCTACTCAGGAGGCTGAGATCTGAGATTGTGGTTCAAGCAGGAAGGCCTGTGAGACTCCTATCTCTAATTAACCACCAGAAAACCAGAAGTGGCACTGTGCTTCAAAGTGGTAGAGTGCTCACCTTGAGTGAAAGATTTTAGGGACGGCACCCAGGCCCTGAATTCAAGACCCAGAACCAAAAGAAAAAAAAAAAGTGGGACAGGGGAGTAATGCTACACTTGAGAATATTGTACATTGTGAATTTTTAACAAGTTTTCAAAACTTATTTTTTTGAATTTCTTCTGGAGCACTTTTTTATTTACTTTTTAATTTTTTTTATTTTATTTTTTGGTCAGTTGTGGGGCTTGACCCCTGGGCCTGGGCACTGTCCCTCAGCTCTTCAGCTCAAGGCTTGTGTTCTACCACTTGAGCCACAACACCACTTCCAGTTTTCTGGTGATTAGTTGGAGATAAGAGTATCATGGACTTTCCTGCCTAGGCTGGCTTTGAAGCACAATCCTCAGATCTTAGCCTCACGCGTAGGATTACAGGCGTGCACCTGTATTGATTTATATGAACTAAAATAGGACTTGAGGCATTCAAAACAAAACTTTCACTAGTATTCCTTTAGTAAAATTTTAAATGAGCCATGTACTAGAGGTTCACGCTGTAATCCTAGCTACTGAGGAGGCTGAGATCTGCCAGCCCTGTCAGGAAAGTCTGTGAGACTCTTATCTCCAGTTAACTACCAGAAAAAAAAAAGCTGGAAGTGGAGTTGTGGCTCAAGGGGTAGAGCACTAACATTAAGCAAAAAAGTTTAGGGATACAGCACTGACCCTAGTTCCCCAAACCAAGAGCAGTGCAGAGAAATCTTCTGTTCTTAACTGGTTCCCAGAATATCCCTGGGGGGGAGTTGTGCATTTTTATCTTAGAGACTTTTTTTTTTTTTATCTGTTGTGGGGCTTGAACTCTGGGCCTGGGTGCTGTCCCTCAGCTCTTCAGCTCAAGGCTAGCGCCCTACCACTTGAGCCACAGTACCACTTCCGGTTTTCTGGTGATTTATTGGAGATAAGAGTTTCATGGACTTGCCTGCCCGGGCTGGCTTTGAACCGCGATCCTCAGATCTCAGCTTCCTGAGTAGCTAGGATTACAGGAGTGAGCCACTGGTGCCTGACCAACTTTTTTTTTAAATAAATTTTTTATTGTGAAAATACTGTACAGAGGGGTTACAATCACATGAACAAGGTAATGAGTACATTTCTTATCAAGCATTGTGGCCTCCTCCTTTGTTTTCCCCCTACCATCCCTTCCCTCCTATCTCCACAACTACATTCCTCCCCCTACCTGTGGCCTAAATTGTAAAGTTCGTTTTTCGACATAGCATCTGGTACATCTCATTGTTGCAATAGGTCTACTTGTATCCCTATTTAAACAAAAAGTCTTACAGACTTTTGTCTCATTTGTAAACTTAGGCTCTTCCAATTCTTTTTCAAAGTGTTGAATACATAGAAGTTTGTTAAATCCCACCCATCCCCTGGCCAGGAGTTCTCACCTTTGGCTATTAAAAGTGCCAGTGTCGTGCTGCTCGTGGAGATGGGTTTAATTGACTTGTGGTGGATCCTGGAAGTCCGTTAGTTTTACACTCTGGGGTGATTATGCCAGGCACCAGAGTTAGGAGCAACTGAGACACTTGGATGTATTGAATGAACGTTCCACAATTTTAAATAGTCTAACCCTGTATCTCAAATTCAATTTTTCTCTCAGGTAATTGAAGAAAAGTTGGCAAAAGCTGAACAAGCATGCCTGAACACTGACTGGAAAATTCAAGCTCTACATAAACAAAAATGTGACGATCTACAACGAAATGAAAGCTACCAGGAAATGACCAAACTCCTTCGAAAAAACAGAAGGAAGGAAGTAGAGCTATTAAATGCCATGATGGAGGAAGAAGCTAAGAAGGTAAGAATCATGTTAGAAACTTTTTATTAAGCATTTGAATTTTTAAATGGTACATAGTCAAATGGCAAAACATATAGCCAAATAATTTTTATTGAAAAAGATCATCTAATTTCAATGGGTGCTTTTCAGAGAAGTCACCAAATGTTGATGTTTACTAAAAATGATTAAGCTAAATGTTTTCTAAAAATGTTTATAGTAGGGGCTAGAAAGCTAGCTCAGTGATAAGAGTGCTTGCCTTGCATGCATGAGGACCTGAGTTTGATTCCTCAGCACCTCATAAGCCGAAACAGCCGGAAGTGGCACTGTGGCTCAAGTGGTAAAGCACTAGCCTGAAGCTGAAGAGCTGAGTGAGGGACAGTGCCCAGGCCCAGATTTCAGGCCCCAGGATGGGCCAAAAAAAAAAAAAGAAGTTTATAGTAGTACACAGCTTGCCAGCTCCTGAATGCATTCTGCCTGGTGGGGTAATATTGCTACTTTAACTTATATAATTTCTTTTTTTTTTTTTTTTTTTTTGGTCATGGGGCTTGAACTCTGGGCCTGGGCGCTGTCCCTCAGCTCTTCAGCTCAATGCTAGCACTTTACCACTTGAGCTACAGCACCACTTCCAGTTTTCTGGTGGTTTATTGGAGATAAGAGTCTCACAGACTTTCCTTCCCCACGCTGGCTTTGAACAGCGATCCTCAGATCTCAGCCTCCTGAGTAGCTAGGATACAGGCGTGAGCCACCGGCACCCAGCTTATATAATTTCTTATATAAGAAACACATAAGATTTTTCAATGCATGGAAAGTGTTTGTAGCTACTACAACCAGTTGAAAATAACTGACTAGAAATTGGATAGAAATGTCTTTCATAAGAAAGAAGTCTAAGGCAGTCTAGCATTAGTATCACAGCTTCACAGTCTCAGGTTCCAGCAGCCTTTCTGGCCTACCTCCTGGTGTGTGGCTCTCATTCTCCGCTATTCTTTATCATCTGAGGTGACTGCTCTAGCTCCAGCCATCACATGCATATTGCAGACAGCAAAAGAAGGAAGAGTAGGAATGTAAAATGTTCTGCTTCCCATCTGAGTCGGCTCCTTTTTAACTCCTTTCCAGGAGTTACATATCTCACGTTAGCTGCAAAGGCTGCTGAGAAATGTATTTTTTAGTAGGGGGTATTATGATCCCAAAGATAATTAAGAAGAATCAAAATGGAATTTAGAGGCAACGAAGGGTCTGTGTTGCATATGCATAACTTCCGGTTGGTTCTCTCAGCCACTCTGGGTTCTCTGCCACCACAGATGCTGTGGCCCACCTGGGGAGAGAGCAGGCTCTGAGTAACTCTTTCCTTCCTTCTGCTGCTAGCCACAATGTCTGTTTCTCACAGTGGATTTCCATCATAGCCTTATCCCAGATTTATTTTCCTACTACCTCGTTTCAGTGGTGGAGGGCCGTATCTTAAAACCCTTACATTTAACAACAGGAAAAACTGGGGAGAGGTCGGGATGATCCCTAGGCTTTGCCTCAGGAAAATTGCAGTGAAAGCCTTCTTCTTAAGGTAAGGGAGGTGGTACTAAGGCTAGACCGTAAAATGTGGTACTGCTATACTTTGGGGGAAAATAATACTTTGAGAGTAGATAGAATCGTTGTAAGTGCTTTAGATGTTATGCAAAAATCCTTTGTGTCCAGTGTCCTGGATTCTAAAGCTAACTTAACTGTGTGTGGCCTTGGGAAATCACAACCTAGATAGACCTCCCTTGTCTTTCCTGTCCATATATATGTTTTTTGTTTGTTTGTTTGTTTTTGGGAGGGTTGTTGGGGGTTCTTTTGATCCATAGTGGGGTTTTAACTCAGAGCCTAGGTACTATCTCTCAACTTTTGTGCTCAAGACTAGTGCTCTCCCACTTTGAGCCACAGCTTTACTTCCAATTTTCTGGAGGTTAATTGGAGATAGGAGTCTCACAGCACTTTCTGCCCAGGCTGGCTTCAAACTGTGATCCTCAGATCTCAGCCTCCTGAGTAGCTAGAATTATAGGTGTGTGGCACCAGTGCCCAGCTATATTTTGTTTTTATTTAATACATTGATCTTCTGTTCATAAAAATCACATATGGGCTTCCATGTAAAAGCTATAGCATTTCTAGAACATTGGCAAACCTGAGCAAAGATTTAGTAATTTAAATTAATTATCTTAGTTTTCTGCTGAGCTCATTTTAAGATGGCTGTTTTTTACTCATTTTCAGGTAAAAAAGAAGGGACTCATGAAGCTTACTTGACTTCTATATGGCCTTGACTTTTTGAAGCTGGTCAGAAGCTTAGTTGTGGGGCTGGGAAGGTGGCTCAGTGATAGAGTGCTGCCTTGCATGCCTGAGGCCCTCAGTTCGATTCCTCAGTACCACATAAGCAGAAAAAGCCGGAAGTGGGGCTAAGGCTCAAGTGGTAGAGCACTAGTCTACACCTGAAGAGCTGAGGGACAGCGCCCAGGCCCAGAGTTCAGGCCCCATGACCAACAAAAAAAAAAAGCTTAGTTGTTTGAGTTTTACTGACTTTATTAATAAGGTTATAACATCAAAATTAAATAAGTTAATTGTCATTAATGCAAAGCCAGCTTAATTCATATTTGAAATCTATAGAAATGAATTGTTATTTCAGGGATGGTCAGGACTTAACCTCTGTGCTTCACAGCACTCTGAGGTACTGAGTGATATAAAAAGGTGCTCTGCTCTCTGCTCTGTTCTTCCACCTTTGGGGGCTACCGCGGGTACCTCAGTTCCCAGGTCCTGCCTGGCCTGACTTTGAAGGAATGAGGAGAAGAAGACACAGAGGGCTATTCACTGTGGGGCCTGCATTCCACGATTTTAATGACCCTTCTCTGTCACTTAGTGGAAGGAAGCTGAAGAAAAGGAGTTTCATTTGAGAGCAGAAAAGAAAGCTTCTTCTCTTTCGGACACATCTAGAAACTGGTTTTTAAAGCAGGAGCTGAGTGCTGCTTTAGAGCATGCTGAAAGGCCATTTTCTAAAGGTGAGTGAGTCTCCAAAAGTATCTCCCTCTGCATGCTCATACAGATGCCTCATTCAACTGCACATTCTGCACTTGTATTTTGGCCTTTTTACTCCAAGACGCTGTTAATCACTACTCGAGATCCTCAGTGGTATTCACTACTTTTTTGTGGAGGATCAGTTGAGGATGTGGCACTGTTACAAAAACAGCTCTGATCAAGAAAAAAGCATCAGCCACCCTCCATCGGTCCAACATCCTCTCAATCTTCCAGAATGTGATTTTTTCCCACAGGGTTTTTTTCTTGTTTAAAATTAGATGCTTTTCTGGGCACCAGTGGCTCACACCTGTAATCCTAGCTACTCAGGAGGCCAACCCAGGCAGAAAAGTCTGTAAGACTCTTTTCTCCAATAAAACTACTGAGAAGAAGCTGGAAGTGTCACTGTGGCTCACGTGATAGAGTGCTAGCCTTGAGCACAAAGATGCTCAGGGACAAAGCCCCGGCTCTGAGTTCAAGCCCCATGACCAGCAAAAAATAAAATAAATTAAATAGATGCTTTATATAGAATAATATTTATCAAAATGAACTCAAGGAAATGGACACAGAGATTTTTTTTTGTTATTTTTCTTTTCCTTTCTTTTTTGTCTCATATGTAAGTTTATCTGTTTTGGAGTGGGTAAAGCAGAGCACAGAAATGGAGGAACAAAGGGTAAACAAATGCAGCAGTGGTACTTGCTAGATACTATGCTGAAAATGAACCGTACTACTTGTGAGTGGGGATGGGACAAAAAAACTGGGGTGACATTGTCCAAAAAGAAATGTGCTCTTGGGGCTGGGAAGGTGGCTCAGTGGTAGAGCGTTTGCCTTGCATGCCTGAGGCCCTGGGTTCAATTCCTTAGCACCACATAAGCAAAAAGAAAAAAGCTGGAAGTGGTGCTGTGGCTCAAGTGGTAGAGTGCTACCCTTGAGCTGAAGAGCTGAGGGACAGCGCCCAGATCCAGAGTTCAGGCCCCACGACTGGACCCAAAAAAAAAAAAAAAGAAGAAGTGTGCTCTTTACCTGATTATATCTGTAGATCGATCACCTTTATAATAACAATAAAAGCTCAGGGACAGCACTCAAGCTCTGAGTTCAAGCCCTAAGACCAGTACTTAAAAAGGAAAAGAAAAGAAAGTTTTCTAAACAGTTGATCCCTAGAACAATAGTAAATTGAATTACCGTGTAGGCTCTTCTTATAGAATATAATCAAACATTAAGTTTGGTACAAAGCTTGCAGCAGTATTAACTGAAAAATCAAATTCTAAAATAGAGTACCAAGATGGATACATTTATTTTAGTTTATTTTTACTGCTTCCGTTTTTTATTATGTATATTAATTACACTCGTGTAATTAGTCCATATCCATACAATCTACAATGGTATTGTATTGCTGTGTGATTAGAAATTTATTCAAGCTGTGCCTAGTGGTACATACTTGCAATCCCAGCACTTGGGAAGCTGAAGCAAGAGGATCATGAGTTCAAGACCAGTTTGGGCTATATAGCAAGACTATCTACACCAAAAAAAAAAAAGAGCCTGGCACTGGTGGCTCACGCCTGTAATCCTGGCTACTCAGGAGGCTGAGCTCTGAGGATCGAGGTTTGAACCCAGCCCGGACAGGAAAGTCTGTGAGACTCTTATCTCCAGTTAAACACCAGATAACCGAAAGTGGGGCTGTGGCTCAAGTGGTGGAGCACTAGCCTTGAGCTGAAGAGCTGAGGGACAGCGCCCAGGCCCAGAGTTCAAGCCCCAGGACTGACAAAAAAAGAAAGAAAGAAGAAAAATAAATAATAAACTACCCATTAGTGGTCACTCCCAATTTCTCCTCCATTCTCCCTACCAGTCTACTTTGTGTTTGTAGATTTGACTATCTAGGCAATTTCATTTAGGTGGAGTCATTTAGGTATTTTGTGTCTAGCTTATTTTACCCAGCATAGTATTTTGAGGTTTCCAATGTTGTAACATGAATCAGCTCTATTCTTTCTTATTACTAAATAATATTTCATTGTAAGGATATTCTGTATAAATACATTCATGATTTAATGGACATTTATGTTGTTTCTCCTTTTTGTTTTTTAGGAATAGTGTAGGTGTACTACTTTGTCTTTCTCTTTCTTACTTTGTTCCTTTTCCTCCTTTCCTTCTTGTTGAATTTCAGTAGTAATTAGGGAAAAGGGGACAAAAATAAGAACCACAATGAGAAAAAAATTGAAAGACATAAGACCATAATGGTATACCAGTTCGCACCTATAAAGTTGACTATAATCAAAAAGATAATAACCAGTGTTGATCAGGACCAGAGAAATTGAAATTCTGCTGTGGGGAATTGTGACATGGTGCATTTACTTTGGAAAACAATTTGGCAGTTCCTCCAAAGGTTGTAGTGACCAAATGTCTCGACAGTCCCACAGGAGAGCTGAAAACATGGGTCCATATAAAAATTTACACATCAACATTTGTGGCATCATTGTTCCTGACAGCCCAGTAGAACAGCCCAGGTACTCACCAGTTGAGAGATAAGGGGGTTGTGGTGCAGGCCTGGCATCCCTGCACCATCGTGCATTCCAGGCTACTCTGGACTACATAGCCAGGCCTGTCTCCAAAAACAGTGATAGATTTATATAACAGACTCTTTCTCAGTCATAAAAAGAAATGAAGTACTGATCTATGCTACAAAATGAATGACACTTGAAAACAATGTCAAGTTAAAGGAGACAGACATCAAAGCTACCTCATCTAGGATTCTATTTATATGAAAGGCTCAGAAGTGGCAAGTCTATAGAGATAAAAGTAGATGGAGGGTTGTCTGGAAGTGGGGGAGGTGGTGACTGCTAATAGATATGGGGTTTCTTGGGGGGCATTGTTGGATATGTTCTAAAATTAGTGATGATAGCTGCACAAATTATAGACTTTAACAGACTGAATTTTGTGGTGTGTGCATCTCAGAGACTCAACTGGGTGCTGGTGGATCACGCCTTAATTCTAGCTACTCAGAAGGCTGAGATCTGTGGATCACTGTTCAAAGCCAGCCCAAGCAGAAAAGTCCCTAAGACTCTTACCTCCAATAAACTACTCAGAAAAAGCCAGAAGTGGCACTGTGGCTCAAGTAGTAGAGTGCTAGCCTTGAGCACCAAGAGCTCAGGCACAGTGCCCAGGCCCTGAGTTAAAGCCCCAGAACCACTGGGGGTGGGGTGGCGGGAGTCAACTTGAGGGAAAATAAAGGCAGTTACCAGATAGGGCCATTAATCTAGCTTTCACATGACTGGGGTCTCGAAAGGGGGCTAGAGGACCAGGGGTGGCACTTGAGATGGGAGAAGGTGGCGGCCTGCCACAGCAGTGCCCAGCTGCAGGATGGGGTTATTGAACCGCGATCCTCAGATCTCATCCTCCTGAGTAGCTAGAATTACAGGCATGAGCACCAGCACCTGGCTAAAGTCTGTATTTTTGTTGTTTTTGTTTTAACTGAAGGTGTTTGAAAAGATGATCAAAACTAGCTTAGCTCTTGATTTTTATCAACTATATTTTCCTTGTCTCCTGAATTTTGTCAGGAGTTTTTCACCAAGGACCATTTAGCATTAATAACATTCTCTCTCCCTCAACATCATCTTCACCTCACTTTCTAGCAGAAGAGTCCTGTTTGCGAAGGGAGCAGAAGGCCTCAGGCTCTTTGGCCAGGACCTCACAACTAACTGACATTTCTGGAATAGATCCCTCAACAGGACGTAAGTTGATAAATAAGGAAGATTTCATCTGTCACTTTGTATTTCACAATCTGTAAACAACAGTGGTTTAACTGGTTTCCCTAGCATGCCGATGCCATTTTCCCAGGGCCCTGGCAGTGGGAAATCCCAGCTGAAGGCAGCAGGGCTTGCTCAGACTTCCAGCCCCAGCAGAGTCAGTCTGCTGAGTTCCTAGCCCAGCGCTGCCACCCAGAACAAGCACTGGAGCTCTTGCAGAAGGCTGCCACTGGCTAAAGCAGTAACACAACCCACACAACTACTTCCACATCATCTTTGTGAAGCGAAAAATCTCTTCCTCTGGGCCAGGTGCCCTCCACCAACCACAAGGAAGACGTGCTGGCTTCTCTGTTCTGGTGCTCTGCTGACACGAATCGCTTCATGCTGGCCAGGCGACTTGTCATTGCTAGACTTGAAGCATGAGGGGACTTCAATGATGGCAGAGATGGGGTGGGAACATCTTACCAAATATAATCACAGCATGAGCCCCCAGGGAACTAGCAATTCTCACAGTAAAGTCTCTTATTTATTATAAAGAGGAGGGAAAGGACAAGACTTTCAACTGACAGTAAGCTGCCGAATAGACAAGGCAGAATTTCTTGAGTCTTGTGAATTATTTTTGGACATAACTTTTGGACAAAGTCTCCAGAAGGTGAGTTTTAAGCCAAAGGTTTTTATTTGTTTGGTTTTTGTTTGTTTTTTTTGTCCAGTCCTGGGGCTTAGACTCAGGGCCTGGGCACTGTCCTGAGCCCTTTGCGCTCAAGGCTAGTGCTCTTCCACTTGAGCCACAGCGCCGCTTCTGGCTGAGAAGACAAATTTTATAAGAAACATTACTGATAACAAGTCATGAGATTCCAGTATTATGTCAAATATTTTTGCTAAATTATATTTTTATATGTTTCTGTAAGTTCTGGTCCAGAAGAAGAATTAAACCAAAAGTCATTTGTGAGTCAGATAAGAACAATGGCTTCTCAGCTCTTCTCTATTCTGACATACCAGAACTTAAACTTAGAAATTTTTTTTTTTTGGTTGGTTGTGGGGCTTGAACTCTGGGCCTGGCACTGACCCTGAGGTCTTCAGCTCAAGCTTACTGCTCTATCGCTTGAGCCACAGCGCCATTTCCGGTTTTCTGGTAGTTAATTGGAGATAAGAGTCTCATGGACTTTCCTGCCCAGGCTGGCTTTGACCTTCGATCCTCAGATCTCAGCCTCCTGAGTAGTTAGGATTACAGGTGTGAGCCACCAGCACCTGGCTAACCTTAGAATTTTTTGAGACAAGATCTCACTATTTTTCCCAGGATTATTAAACAGCCTCCCTTTCTAGCCTCCAGAATAGCAGAACTACAGGCACACACCATTGTACACATTTGGGGGGGGGGGGGGTCTGGTCATGGGGCCTGAACTCTGGGCCTGGGCGCTGTCCCTCAGCTCTTCAGCTCAAGGCTAGCACTCTACCACTTGAGCCACAGCGCCACTTTGGCTTTTTTCTTATGTGGTGCTGAGGAATCGAACCCAGGGCCTCAAGCATGCAAGATGAGTGCTCTACCACTGAGCCACCTTCCCAGCCCCCCCATTGTACACTTTTAACTATATGGTTCTTAATAGTTCAGAATGAAGTGAAAGAATTGTTTATTTATTTGACAGCAAAATGGAAAATATACGCAAGTTACATTCCTTTGGAGGAAGAAAGCAGTTTTTCAGAAATTGTAATTAACTGCTTTATATATCAATTTTAGCGATGTGTGTGCATTTTATATACGTACACATACATATGTATATATACGTATACATACACACAAATCCATGTCATTTTATTTTTATGCTGGTCCTAGGGCTTGAATGTGGGGCCTGAGTGTTGTCCCTAAGCTTTTTGTCTCAAGGCTAGTGCTCTTCCACTTCTGGCTTTTTTTTGGAAATTAATTGGCGATAAGAGTTTCATGGACTTGCCTGACCAGTCTCACTTCCAACGGCAGTCCTCAGCTCTCAGCCTCCTAAGTAGCTAAGATTATAGCATGAGCCACCAGTGTGTGCCTAGATGTATATTTTTAAGTCTTTTTTTTGCCAGTCCTGGGGCTTGAACTCAGGGTCTGGGCACTGTCTCTGAGCTTCTTTTGCTCAAGGCTAGCACTCTGCCACTTGAGCCAAATACCACTTCCAGCTTTTTCTGTGTATGTGGTACTGAGGAATTGAACCTAGGACTTCATGCATGCTAGGCAAGCTCTCTACCACTAGGCATATTTCTAGCCTACATGTGTGTGTATAATATATATATACATTATATATATATATATTTTGTTTTTTGTTTTTTTTTTTTGTCGGTCATGGGACTTGAACTCTGGGCTTGGGCGCTGTCCCTGAGCTCTTCAGCTCAAGGCAAACACTACTGCTTAAGCTACAACCCACTTCCGGTTTTCTAGTGGTTTATTGAAGATAAGATTCTCACAGAGGGGCTGGGAAGGTGGCTCAGTGGTAGAGCACTTGCCTTGCATGCCTCAGACCCTGGGTTCGATTCCTCAGCACCACATAAGAAAAAAGCTGGAAGTGGCTCTGTGGCTCAAGTGGTAGAGTGCTAGCCTTGAGCTGAAGAGCTGAGGGACAGCGCCCAGGCCCAGAGTTCAGGCTCCACGACCGGACCCAAAAAAAAAAAAGTCTCACAGACTTTCCTGCCTGGGCTGCCTTTGAACCGTGATCCACAGATCTCAGCCTCCTGAATAGCTAGGATTACAGGCATGAGCCACCAGTGCCCAGCTAGCCTACATGTATATTTTTAAAGTATATTCTTCACCTCCTCAAATTCTTCCTCAGTCAGTGTGAAGCAGGCATTCCACTTGATAAATTATGTCATTGAACCTGGACTCTGGATTCCCCTGGAGCTGTAATACAAGGCACACAGTACTTGTATGACTGGCAGAGTAGTTAGGGTCCGCATTTGCCACCTGTGCTACTTGGGCCTCCTTGTCTCATTACCATAAGCAGCAGAGTGGCAGAGCACTCACTGTTTTGAAGAACTCACATTCTTAGTCAAGCTCTGCTCCTGATTTCCAAATTCAGATGCTCAGCAACCCCATTCAATTCTAACAGTAAGCTAGCCCTAACAGTAAGTTCAACAGATATTTAGTGGGGAAAATGACTCCACACCAAGGAATCTGTGACTATTTTTGTTAGAGAAATTTGTTTTTTTACAATATTCATTTATTTCACCACTGATTTTTACAGCATATAACTAATTCAGCTACTAGTAACTTTGAATTTTGTTTCAAGTTCCTCTCCGTAGAAGCACAGCAGAATGGGACGGCAAGAAAGAAAATCTGCTCAAGAAAGTGCGAGACCTCCGCCAGAGACTCACCGCGCAGGCCCAGAACAGACACCTCAGCCAGAGTCTTTTGGCTACGTAGAAGGTGTCACCTTGTCACAGAGAAAGAGAAATACCTACTTACAATCAATGACACTTACTTTTAGATTATTTATTCAGAATTTTTTAATGACTACCCTTTTATATAGAAAAACATGCCCATGAAAATTATGTGTTCTGTTTAATTCTAATACTTTTGGGCTTGTAAATGGCCTCTTGAACTTTTCCCAATAAATGTTTTGGAGTCTTCTTAAAGCTGTGTCGTGATTGGTGAATCCCAGGTCCCCTGCCCAGAGCCGCCAGCAAGATCTCTCCTCTTTGCAGGTGACACGTGACCTGTCTGGCTCTGCTTCTCCAGCGATCATCAGCACCACCTACTCTGGCCCTCTGCCCCCCAGATCATCCCAGCAGGCTTCATGGTGTCATGAACCTGCTTCCGACTCCCAGACTCTGCCCATTAGTAAAGGATCGAAGAAGCCACTCACACACTTGAGGAAGCATTATGTGTGGTGTTGCTGGCTCAGTGCTTAACAGAGTCAGGATGTAAAACATGATAGTTCCTCTGTATTTGCGGCACAAAGGATAATCGCGTGGTGAACCAAATATTTTCAGTCAGCAAACTGCACTCTGTCCAAGGGGCAAAGTACTACAGCAAGTACTATGGTATGTGTTGTTACTAGGTTAAGCACTTGTTTTCTAGTTGTTTCCCCAGCCCTATTGGCCCTGTGTTTTGTGAGTTGGGCTGTGTGTTCCCAACAGAAGTTACAAGGTATAAGCCTCATGGGATGGATACCTTGGTGGACTAGAAACTTCTAGCTCACCTAAAAGCATTTGGACCCTAAAGCACTGATTCTGCCTGTCAGAATCAACTGTATATTGCCAATCTTTTACCCCTTTTAGCTACTTTTACTAACATTTATACCTTTTCCTTCTTTTTAATTTGCAACTACACAGAAGTACACGTACAATCTGTAGTTTCTTTAAAAGTTTTTGTTCTTGCAGCAAAAATGACTTGTGAATAGTCTCACCCACATGATCTTTCCATCACCTTTCCATCAAATTTCTCTGATCCTGTATTTCTCCCAATAAAAATCTCACAGACTTTCCTGCCAGGGCTGGCTTTGAACTGTGATCCTCAGATCTCAGCCTCCTGAGTAGCTAGGATTACAGGCATGAGCCACCAGTGCCCAGCAGTCCCTGAGCTTTTGTGCTCAGGCCTACTACTCTACCACTTTGAGCCACAGCTCCACTTCCAGTTTTTGGTCATTAATTGAAGATAAGAGTCTCATGGATTTTCCTGCCTGGCCTGACCTCGCATCCTCAGATCTCACCCTTCTTTCTGAGAAGCTGGGATTCCAGGCATGAGCCGCCAGGGGCCAGCCCAGTGATCATCTTGATGATGCCATCACTGCAGACTTCAGACGCTCCCCTGAATACCTTTGGTCACATGGGTTTGGTTGTCATTTTAAAGGATATCATATGACGTATATAAAATACATTTCCAGTTACCTCTTTTCTTCCTGACATTCTACCCCAGTCTCACTGTGACTTCTTTATAACATGAATTCTCTGCAATTAAAAAGGGCTGACTTAGCTGGGCACTAGTGGGCACCTCAGATCTGAGGATTGCAGTTCAAAGACCATCCCAGACTAGTGGGTAAACATGAACCAAGAGTCTGGGTGCCAGGATCCCGTCCGCGCGGATGGAGTGCCCTGCCATGCACACCATGTTGGAGGCCACTGGAAACAACACTCAGATAGACTAGGCTGGAGGCCAGTGTTCAGAGCTGGTGGCCAAGACCTGGACCTCCCTGTGGAACACTGTGTGTTGTGTTGGGAAGACTGCAGGAAATAATCCTCAGGCAGGGACTGTGAAGGTGGGAAGCCATGCCCTCTCCCCAGGGCATAGGGACCCTGAATGTCCCTCACACCCTTTGCTGGGGGACCGGAAAGTGCAGCAGAACAACACAGCAGATCCTGTAGACACCTCTTCCTGCAGGCTCTGCTGGCAGCTTTGGAGCAGGTCACAGCAGATGAGGCTGCTGTAGCAGCGCCAGGAGCGAAGGTGCTTGTGGCGTGGAGGCCCTGGTAGGTGACCAGGGCACTACTGAGTCTGGAAGTGGCTCAAGCTTGTGTGGTCAGTTCACAGATGTAGACGCAATGTTGCCTCAGTGCAACTGGCCAGAATTTCCCTGGTAAGATGGCAGTGTCCATAGCTTAGGAAGAAGAAGGATGTAGGGTGGACTGAGGAGAGCATACTCAGGAAGACTCCTCAGGAAGGCACTGAGTGAAGGGGCACCTGCAAACCGAGCCAGGCACTCACCCCAGGCAGCCAGCTGCAGCCAAGGGCAGCGGGGGAGTAGGAATTTTGGGGGTCTTTGGCCTATCTATATGTATCTATCTATCTATATCTATCTATCTATCATCATCTATCATCTATCATCTATCATCAATCATCTATCTATCTATCTATCTATCTATCTATCTATCTATCTATCTATCTATCTATCTATCTATCTATCTATCTATCTATCTATCTATCCATCCATCCCCTAAGAGTGCAGTGGACTGGCAGCCTACCAGATTGTTCACTTGGTGCCTGTGACAGGAAAAGCGCCAGGCTTGATGGCCAAAATCCTGACCTGCTTTGCCCGGGAGCCGGGCCCATTCCTAGGGGAGGCCTCGCCCCGCCAGGGGACCCATAGCGGCTCCTCGACGCCCCAGCCTCCGGGGGCTCTGACTGACACTCGAGCCTGTGGGTCTCAATCCAGGACCTGAACGCCATGCAGTCAACACTACCACCGCCCAGGGAGGGTTGTTAGCCCTTGGGAAGGTTTCTGGAAGGTTCCCCCTCACCAGGACGGACAGGGCCCCGGGTTTCCCAGGGGCCGAGCCGAGGTGGGGTGATGGCCGTTTGCTGCGATTAGCTCTCTGGGGATGAGCTGGAACTCGCCGGGCTCCGTCCCCCGGCACGCAGCACGCACGCCCCGCGGCCGAGCCCACCCCGCCCGGGACAGCCCCGGCTCACGGGGCGAAGCGCGGGGCCGAGGCTCAAGGCCCCGCCACGTGGGCGCGGCCCCGCCCCCGGCACACATCACCCGCGTCCGGCTCTACCCACGCACCGCTACCGCTGCCGCTGCTTTGACTCCCTTTGGTGTCCCAGCCTGAGGGCAGTAAAAAAAATCCGTTTTTGTCTCAGGGCTCTGAGGACAGGGAAGGAACAAAAGTATTGTGCCCCGTGTGAGGATCGAACTCACGACCTTCAGATTATGAGACTGACGCGCTACCTACTGCGCTAACGAGGCACCTACTCGCAGCTTCCGGCTGTACCCTAATGAGGCTACAGCGGCAGCAAACGCACTGCGCATGCTCGCAGATTCCAGCTCTCTTTTCCTATTGGCCGGGTTCCGGGCCTGGGTTCCGGGAGTTCCCGACGCCTGCGCCGGCTCTTCCCACCCGCGCTCCTCCGGAGGAACGGGCCGGCGGCGCTGTAAGAGCGCTTGCACACGCAGAGGGCACCTGCGGGGTGTGCTGCCGGCCCTGCGCGGCCTGCGTTCGCGGACCGGCCGGAGTGCGGGGTCCGACCTCGCGCTGGTTTGGGTTGCAGCCGCTGCACCACTCCCCAGAGCCCCCAGAGCCGCCTCTGCGCGGGGGCTGCGGCGACCGCCCGAAGCGTCCCGCCTCCTCTAGGCGCGTTTCCAGCCGCGTGCACCGCAGGGGAGGGGCGCGGGGGGCGCGGGCCGGGCGCGGCGGGGGCGAACCCGGGGTCCGGGGAGGCGGATGGCGGGGACCCCCGAGCTCACGCCCCCGGGGTCCCGGCAGGAACCCCCCCCCCCGCCACCCCCCGCGCGCTCTGGATCCGGACTCGGGGCGCCGCCCGGCAGGCGCCGTCCCGGCCGCTCGGTCCCCCGCGGAGAAGCTGACCCGCCCGGCCCGGACCCCGGCGTCCTCGGCTCCATCCCTGCCAAGTCGTGTGCAAATAGAAGGAAAAGAAACCCCGGAGCCCAGGTGCGGGCCACGCGACGGGCGGCGATCACTCTGCCAGAGGGGGTGAGGGGCCGGGCGCACGGAAGGAAGGGTCCCCGAGCCTTTCTGCCCAGACAGGCCTCGGAACCCTGCCCTCCCGTTCCCAGCCCCCGGAGTAGCCAGGGCGGCAGTGGAGTTTGGCCTGGCACGTGTTCGCTGGGCGTGGCCTGGACTGCAAGAATTGGCCCTGGAACTTGCGATTCCGAGTTAGGAAGTTCAAATCCAACCCAGCTTCAGCCTAGATCAGAGTCCCCCTGATCCCAGACCCGAGAGCTAAAGGAAAGGAAGTCGGACACAAAAGGACAAATATTGCATGCTCCTTCTTCTGAGACACATCCGGAATAAGTAAGAGAGGAAAGGTTACAAGGGCCAGGGGAGTGAGATTACTTAATGGGTAGAGTTTCCGTTTGACATGATGGAAAAGTTTTCAAAATAAAGAAGAGAGGGCTCAGTGGTAGAGCGCTTGCCTTGCATGCATGAGGCCCTGGGTCGATTCCGATTCCTCAGCACCACATAAATGGCGCTGTGGCTCAAGTGGTAGAGCACTAACTGAGCTGAAGAACTGAGGGACAGCGCCCAGGTCCAGAGTTCAGGCCCCACAACCGGACCAAAAAAAAAAAAGAGACAGTTTCACACACAAAAAAAAGTGGATGCCCTTAATAATCCTGAATTGTACACTGGAAAAACTGGTCAAAATGGCAAATTGTATGTTGCATATACTTATAACAATGTGCCAGGTGCTGCTGCCTGCAGAGGCTGAGATATGAGGATCTCTGTTCCAAGCCAGCCTGAGCAAGAAAATCGATGAGCTCTTATCTCCAATTAGCCACCAGAAAACCAGTACTGGTGCTGTGGCTGAAAGTGGTAGACCACTAGCCTTGAGTGAAAAAGCTCAAGGACAGCACCCAGACCCTGTCTGAGTTCAAAGCCCATGACCAACAAAAATAATAAAAATAAACAATGTAAGGCTGGGTTCCAGTGGCTTACACCTGTAATCCTAGCTACTCAGCCTGAGCAGAGACGCAACCCTAATTAACCAGCAAAAAGCTGGAAGTGGAAAAGTGGAGTAACACTTTTGAGCAAAAAAGCTACAAGACAGCCTCAGCTCTGAGTTCAAGCCCA